CTATGTATGCTTCATTTGCATGCATGTTTTTCATGAATACGAACGTGACTATGGGCCTCTAGCAGGCAGGGTCCTGTCTCATTTCTCCCAGCCATCTTCCTTCTCACGTTCAATTCCAGTTCTTACTCACTCCTGGGCACCAACAGATACTTGACAAATAACTGTTTATTTAGTTAGAGGGTGTGGAAATGATTCCAAGTCTGTAAGAAAGAATACTCTGTCCATTCATTCCACCACAGTCCAATTCCTGGGTAGAAGAACAGAAAAAAAATGCCTACCAACTGTTAGGTTTGAGGCCGCTTTCTGGAGGGCCTGAATTTTTAAAATTCACTGGACTCTGCTAGGAACATGCCCAAAAGTAAGTACTTATGGGGCCTGCAGCAGTAAGGGGTTAAAGGATTCTTCCAATTAAGAGGGAAGACAGCAATGTCTTTTTTCTTCTTTTCAACTATTTCAACTTCTTTTCAACTGTTTCATCTTGGACACAGAAAGACTTTACTATTGCTGTCCTGCCTCTTTCTCGCTTTCTTCTTTTCAACTATTTTGGCTTAAATGATCACAGCAGTTAATACCTAATCTAGAACTTTGCAAAATTCAGAACTGTTTGAAGAAATGATGATAAGCTTCCCCATAATCCCACCCACTAGAGGGATGAGCTTTCTGTTTATCTGAACACATCAGGCAGGGCGCGGTGTAGTCCCTTATTCAACTGTCTTCATGTTTTTCTGCAAAAGTAGCAGCAGCTCAGCCCCGACCGTCTCCTCTCTCACTTGTGGGAGTCTCATTCAGGGATCGGTGAGTCTGGCTTCTGACTTCAAGCCTAAGTCCTGGAGCAAATGCTACACTGCCCTTGTGGGGAGCTGACCTGTGGGGTTGGGGCCTGGGGCGTTCAGAGGCCAGCACTGCTGAAGGACCCATGGCCATGGCTGTGGAGGAGAACTTGGGAAATGGCAGCTTGTGTCTTTCCACTTTCAGCTGTGGGTGCTGAGCCACACAGACTGTCTGTTCCTGTCTGGAGAACCCCCCACTGAAGTGGCAGGAGACGGCACCTGCCTCTGCTCACGGCACATGAAGCTGAAGCTGATTTTAACAAAAAGTCAGACAACGCAGGCATCTGTTACTCTCCTTATAGACCTTTTGTTCCTCTTATAGCCACAAGGAATGCTCCATGGAAATGCGATTTCATACTTCAGTGGTTACATGTACTTGGTCTTCAGTGGGACAGGGAAGAAGGCGCTTGGTGACAGGGAGCGTGTTTTGTGATGTGTAGTCTCCAGCTGCCCTCCTACCAGGGTGAATCCCAAGCAGGGACTGCTGAGGGGCTGCAGAGGTGTGAGGAAGTGAGCTGGCCAGGGTGAGAGGGAGCTCCTGAGCTCCTCTGTGCAGAGAGGAGGGTCCCAGGCGAGGCAGGTGAGGGGGTGCTCAAGGGAGGAGGTGAGAGAGACACAGAAGAGGGCAGGGCTGAACATGGGAGAGCCATGGGCGTTGCTGTATGTGATGTGTGGTGTGTAATATTACCTTCTCTGTCTCCCCATAGTTAATGTCGGATTTGTTAGTGTAAGAGTTGCACTCTGTTGCTGAGATTCTGCCTCGAATTAGGCAAGAAGGGTAGCTGAGGGGCCAGCCACTGAGTTATATACCAAAAGAGGAGGTGATTGAGGCAATGAGGCACCTGCCATGTATTCCTCCATGAACACTCAGCACCTTATCCTTCAGGGTCTGTCTCCTCATACTGTATGGTGAGCTCCCCTTGGGCCTCGCTTGCTGCTGGGACCCCAGGGCTGGACAGTGCTGCTTTGTTAAGCTGGCCTATCTCTTCCCAATTTACCTTCAACTAACATTTGTTCAGCACCTAACTGGCACCAGGCCCTGTGGCAACAGGGAGGATAGGGAAACAGAGACACAGGCCACCTGCCAGGAGTTCACGGTAGTAGATTGTTGCTGTCAGGCTAAAAGTGGAATGGAAGAGGTGAGTCAAAGTGATGTGAGAGCCTGAGGGTGGGGATGTAGGGGGCAGGCTCCTGGAGGAGAGGACACCTGAGCTGCAGGGAGGAGGTGAAGACAGGAGGGTGTTCCTGGCAGACACCAGCCCCGACAGAGAATCTGCTTTGTGCCTCTTGGGTCCTGGGAATAGCTCCTGGAGAGCAGGGCCAACGTGGAGAGGTCAGGGGTCTGGAAGCAGAGGTGTCATCTGAGTCTCAGACTCATACTACAGGGTAGCCATCCTCAAGGAGAAGGGGCTGGGCAGAGGGAAAAAGGCACAGCTCCCAGTTGGGCATTGATGGGCCTGAGTTTTCAACATGGGGTGTGCATTTGGTTTGACAAAGCCAATTCGGATTTAACATTTTGTATTTGGAAAATGTGAAAACTATACCTGCCATTTTGGTAATAGAAGTTAAGTTTGACTAGCTTTTGCCTGAAAAAGCAGGGATTTTTTTTTTAAGGGTTAAGGAACACTGCTCCTGGTGACAAGATGGGTTTTTATTTTAGCAGGGCAGTGACTGGTGTGGGCCAGGAAGGACTGTGGACCAGAGATCATTAAAGGACGGGGAGATGGAGGCATGATTCAGGGCCTGGTGCTCCGGGTGGGGAAATACTTAGGACATAAAACCAGAAACCTTAGTGACCAATTAGATGTGCAGGGCAAAAAGAGGGCATCAAGATGGGATCCCATGGTAGGATGTCTGGTTGGTAGGGGGCAGAGAGGAAGGGCTGGCTGGGGAGGCTGTGGTGTGGGGTGAGCAGGAGTGATGGTCTGTTTGCAGGTTGATTTTTAAAGAAGCTGCAGGACACGGGAGTAGGCAGGGGCCCCTGAGTATTTTAATGTCCAGGGTCACAGAGCAGTGGGCAGCCAACAAGGACTAGAATGTGCTGCCCTACCTCCGGTGGCCTTGCTGCCCGGATTGACTGCACACCGAGAGCACGGGGCAGGTGGCTGTGAGGGGGCTGTGCCTCTGCTGCTCTCTGAACCATCCAGGGGGTGTCAGGCATCTGCTTTCACTACATGGGGTACCGTGGTTCATGCTGTCCCTTGCATCTTTGCTCTGCTCGAGGGATGTGGGGGCTGGAAGCTGGAGAGAGCTAGGTTCTCAAAGCATGTGCTGGGAAGCTGAAGGCTGCACAAGAGGTGATGCTGTGCTTGGTACAGCAGCTCCAGCAGGCTCAGAGGGTTCTGTCTGGCCAGGATCATCTAAGCTCCCCCAGGGCAGCAGCCCTGTTGTAGGTGTCAGGGCCTCTCTAGAGTAGCCCTGGCATTAGGCCTCTTTCTTTCTCTTCCCTTCTCTCATGAAAACTTGCTGATCTGGTGCCTGTCCTGACCTATTCAGCCCAACTCCGCCATCAGAGATTAGACAGTTTCATTGCCACAGGACAATGGTTTCTAGATAATATAATGGCCTCAAATATCTCTCAGGGCTATTTTCATTTTAATCAGGGGGTAATACCACAACCCAAGGAATGCCACTCTGATGGGGGATTTCAGCAGTGATGGGAGTTGGGATGGGAATTATTTTGTTTACTGTATATTTACCTTGGGGCAAATGTCTGCCTTCTTACCAGAAGGTGCAGGCTACTTCTGGGGGCAAAGGATTAATTCTATTAGTGCACACAAAAAATAGCCGAGATTTTGAAAACTTAAAGCTTAGGAAGTTATGGCCACAGGGCAGCCTCAGGCCTTCTGGGGAAGGGGAGGAGGCTGGTGCTTGAGGCTTCAACATTGGTCCTTAGGGAGGGCAGTGGAGATACATCAGCAAACCCTACCCTGAGGCCAGCCCTGGAAGGGAGGCCATTGGAGAGAGTCAGTATCTAGTGGTGGCTGGGACGCTGTTCTAGTGAAAAATAGAACCTCTGGGAGGAGGACCTTAGCCAGCACTGGATGTGCAGAGCACAGAGTCTTGCTCTTAGAAGCAACTTGCAAGTTCCTAAGTAGATGAGGACCATCTAGGCACTGAGCCTGGATGAAAACGCTGAGCCCCAGGCCCCTTGGCTGGATTGAGGAGGAGGCTGAGCCTTGGCGGGTGTGCAGGGTTCCTGGACTCCCACAGGCACATTGTACCTACCAAGATGAGTTCTCCTTGTCCCTCATTGGCAGGAGGAGTCCCTCTGAATGGCTCTACTCTGGACAGCATTGGGTCAGGGATGGACCTGAGCTGCCAGTGAGCCCAGAGCCATGGGCAGGTGGTGGTAGGGTGGGAGTGATCAGGGATGCTGCCAGCCCTGGGTGAGACAGCCCCCAGCAGCTCTGGGTCAGAACAACAGAATGTCCAAGTGAAAATGGAAAACAATCACTTGTAATCACTTATCTTTATTTTTAAATATTTTGACAATCAATGTGTCAAAGACCTTGATTCCTAGGAGTTTTGGGGTAGTAACTCACCCTACTTTGTAAGGTATTAACAACTTTAGATTCCTCCTTCAGTAGTACTTTACGACCTATTATCCAGGTATTAGCTAGGGGCCTTTCTTCTCCTCGAACTCTAGGTGAAATTGTCTTGAATTTACCGATGGATGGCCAGTGCAAATCTGAAACTCTCCCATTTTCCTGGGATGTGATATTCTTCAGGCTGCTTCTGCCTCGTGGGCTGCATCCAAACATCACTCACACTAGCATCTGTGAGTTTAGCAGCTGTTAGTGAAGTGCTTTGGGGGTCTCAGGAAGGCAGAGCCTTCCAACCCAGCAACTTGCAACCCCGCTCTGGGCTCGTGCAGGAGTTCCACGTTCTGTACCCTCCACCAGGCCAGGGCAGCCTCTTTCCTTGGAGGCCTTGCCAGCCAACACTCAGCAAAGAGATTCTCCAATTCTTCTCTTTAAAAGGAATTTTGATTCCCAATTGTAAAGATAATGAAGCTTTCTTTACCTTTTTATCGGTATAATTTGCTGTTAAAATAAAAATGCATTTCAAATTCACTTTAAAGAATTTCCCAGTAGCTCTTATAAATCAGGGGGAGAGTCATGGTGGTGCGGACAAAGCCCTGACACTTGTCGTGTTTGTGTTTTGCAGTTTCCATCTGGATGTCTGAGGTTGTGTAGATGTGGCTGGCACCCCTGAGGGTGGAGTGGAGGGGTGCAGACTGAGCACTGAACAGAAGGAGCCTTGGACAGGGCTGGGCCAGCCTCCTGGTAAGTCAGCAGTAGTTTTTGGTGGTGATGGGGATAATGCACACTTTTTGGTTGGGCCCATCACATGAGATGCAGACAAAGCCCTTTGCATGAGGATGAGCTTCCAGACACTCAGGTCATTGCCATGACCACCCCTTGTCCTGCTGACTCAAGAGCTACCATAGAATCTGAAGGACCTTGAAAGTCATTAGTTCACCCCCTGCCCCTGGCTCAGCAAGGACAGAAGCCCCTCTACAGCATCCTGTGCTCACTCTGACTCCCAGCAAAGAGAACTCCCTCCCTGACAAGGTAGCCTGTTTCACCTTCCCATTACTGAGCAGCTCCTGCCCTTAGGAAGTCCTCACTCATGCCCTCAGCAGCAATCTGCCTGTCTGTATCAACCACCTGGTTTCCTAGTTCTGCCCTCTAGGGTTCTAGGGAACCAGCCTAATCCTTCTTTCACATGGCAGCTCAGCAGATGTCCTGGGACAGAATGATGGAGTGGAGAAGTGCAGGATGTGGGGCTAGAGACAAACCTCATTGAAATCCTGACTCCACTGTTATCTGTGTGACCTTGGGCAAGTTTGTTAACCTTTTTGAGATTCAGTTTCTTTATCTTCTTTTTTTTTCTGAGACAGTGTGTTGCTCTTTCACCCAGGTTGGAGTGCAGTGGTGTGATCTCAGCTCACTGTAACCTCTACCTCCTGGGTTCAAGCGATTCTCCTGACTCAGCCTCCTGAATAGCTGGGATTACAGGTGCATGCCACCATGCCTGGCTAATTTTTGTATTTTTAATAGAGACAGGGTTTCACTATGTTTTCCAGGCTGGTCTCCAACTCCTGACCTTAAGTGATTCGCCTGCCTCAGCCTCCCAAAGTGCTGGGATTACAAACATAAACTATTGCACCTGGCTTATCTTTATTTTGTTCAAGTAAAACTGGAACAATAATATTGACCTCATAGATTGGTCCTGGGGGTGAAAATACATCATGAATAAGAGTTGCCTGGTAACTCAATTAATTCCCCGTCATCAGCTGGCTGTCCTGCAATTCAATTCAATTCTGACATGAACTACCCTGAGTTGAAGGGCACACAAGCTAACTACTGTAAGTTAAAGGACAAGGTCTCCAATATGACTATCCCTACCTCAGACACCAGCCACAAGTGGGGTCCCCAGGTCACCCACACTTCCAACTGACTTAGCTATAAATAGGGGAGTTCCTGTGACCCCTCTTCAGATTCAATAATTCATTAGAATGATTCACAGAACTCATTGAAAGTGTGGTACTTGCAATCATATTTCAAAGGGTCCGACTATGAAACACCCATATGGAAGAGATGCATACGTAGGTTAGGGTCTAAGGTGGGGAGCACAGAGCTTCTGTGCTCTCTCCCTGTGGAATCCAGGCACATTACTCTCCCCAACCAGGAAGATCCCCCACACTCTGGTGTCCAGAGTTTTTTTTTCTTAAATCAAGGGGCATTTGTTACAGAGGCATAAGTGGTTAAATCATTTGCCACTTGTCTGGGCTCAATCTCTAGCCCCTCGCTCTGCTTTGGAAGCAGTGGGGGGTGGCAAGTCGGGGGGTGGAGCTGATGCTATAGGCTTCTAATCATATGCTTGGGTTTTCTTGGGTGGCTAGACCTATCGTAAGGACATTGAAACTAAGGGCCTATCATAAGTCACCTCATTAGTATAAACTCAGGTTTGGTTGCAAGGGACTCATGATGAATAACAAAAGATGTACCTACTGTCTTTCGGGCATTTTAGGAATTCCAAAGTTTTTTGAAACTCTGTGCCAGGAACCAGGGACAAAGACCAGATATATTCTTTCTTATATCACACCTGGCTCATCACACGCTGGTCTCCTCTGATCTTCAGCATCCTGCTTAGGCTCTTTTTTTGTGACACTGAGGTTGACCTGTTCCCATTATTTGGCTGGGAAACTGTGCATTCTCAGTCTTTTTCTGGATGTTCTTCTTTTTGTCAATATAGTTCAAGACTGAATTAGTTTTATAGACTAAAACACATAATTACAGTGATTTAGTGTGCACCTGCTTATAATTGAATCACAAGCCTCTCATTACTTGAATTCCTAATGCTAAGATGATTTGAGCCCCTAAATGACACATAATAAGAGTAAATAGTTAATAGCACTTGCTATATACCAAGCCCTGTTTTAAATACTCTGCATACATTAACTTCACTAATCCTCACAAGTACCTTTCAAAGTAGTTAAGTTGCTACAGTCCCTGTTTTATATATGGGGAAATAGAGGCACAGAGCAGTTAAGTAACTAGCTGAAGATAATACAGATAATAAGTGGCACAGCTGAGATTTGAACCCAGATAGTCTTGTTCCAGAGTCTGTGCTTTTAATCACTAAGCCATGCTGCACATAACTTTTTGGAAAGAGAAGAAAGGAGCATAAAAGGATGCCTCTGGTTCACAAAGCCAAAGGGTTAGCCCCGGCCCCTGTTGTCATGGTGATGGAGTCAGGGTTTCCATGCCCTATACCACCCCCATTGGATTACCTCTGGAGCAACCCTCTGGGGCTAGGCTTTAAGAAGAGAAAGCAGACCCTAGGGCATAGTGATGTGAGCTCCTGACCATCAGGCCCAGAGCTCCTTGGTTCTTTGCACCAAGGAGCAAAGAAGGGAGGGCAGAGCTATTTCACAGCCTTCACAGACCAGTTGCTGGGAAATACAACTACTCCATGGGGAAGGGGAGATGGTCAATCTTTTTCTGCCTGGATGAAAAGGGTTTATGCCAGGAAGGCTCAGTACAAGGCTGTGTTGGCCAGAATGATCCCAGTCCCAGAGAAGCTGCGAGTTCAGGTGGCTTGGAGCCTAGAGCTCCCGAGGAGCACAAGGGGCTCACATGCCTATGCTCACATCCAGTGTACTTGCTGGGGAAGGGGAGTGGCTTGTTGCTATTTTTAAAATAACATCAAAGTTTCATGGCTTTGAAAGCGCCAAAGAGAATTAATTTACTAGGATGAGTCACTAAATAGAGAAGGGGTGACATTTGATGGGGTGATGTCTCTGAAAGAATTTTGTTCTGCAGTGCTGCCTGCCCAGAAGAATCTGGGTGGGGGCTACATGTCTGTGTGGCTCCAATGCAGTCCTATTACGTTTGACTTTGTCTTCCCTTCTTATCCTCAAGGTCCAGGGATGAGGTTGGGCGGGAGAGTGATAGAGGTGAAATATTCTTAACTAACCCCATGCACATGGGATTGACTGGAATCTACAAGGCTAATGTGTGTTCTTTGCAGATGTTTCTCTTTTGGCATCTGATTTGTGGCAGAGGCACTGGGGGAAAGCGGGAAGGTCTCTTGCTCCAGGAAACCCAGATCTTCCATCCTTCTGCGTTTGTTACATGAACGTATCTATCTCCAACTCAGATAAATCATAGAGTGTCAGAGCTGGAAGGGAACCCAGAGGTCATCTGGTTCATTTTCTCATTTAGAGATGGGCAAAGTGAGACCCAGAGAGAGGCAATGACTTGCCCAAGCCCATGCAGCTACTGAATGATAGACAGGGGCAAGATTGCAGGTCTCTGACTTCTAGTCCAATGTTAAGTCCACCAGAAACATCCCTGACTCAATTACTTTTTTTCCATTCAGATGAAAGGAAAGGGTCTGGACTTAAATGTTACTATGTATAACCACAACCATTCTAGTAGCCCGCTAAATCTGTTCCGAAATCTTTCTTTGCAGAATCTTTTTTTTTTTGGCTGCCACTTCTAGCAGGACCCCTCCTTCTCCAACCCTTCCATCCCCTATTACCAAATATACTGTCAACACCACTGGTAAGTGTGGTGCTGGTTGGGGGAGATCAGGTAAGGGCTTTCATAAGAAGATGACTAAGTAGTGGAGTGATTAAGATCATAGGTCCTGGCTTGGCAGCTGTGCAGAAACAGGCCATGGTGGCATTTGGAGCACTCCCACTGCTTGTTAGAAGAAAAAATTTAGACAAATTAAACTTAACAGAGTTTGAGCAAAGCATGATTCAGCAACTGGGGAGCCCTCAGAACCAGAATGGTTTCTGAATGACTCTGAGGCTGTCACATGGTTGGATACATTTATGGACAGAAAAAGGAAAGTGACATACAGAAAATGGAAGTGAGATATAGAAACAGCTGGATTGGTTATGGCTTTTGTTTGATTTACTGGGAACAGGATTTGAATAGTTGATCACCTGTGATTGGTGGAAACTCAGCTGCTGTGGTTGGCTGAGACTCAGCTACTTGTCGCAAGAGTAGGTTACAGTCTATTACACATCAAGTTGGGTTACAGTTTATTATACATGGAGAAACCCTTAGGCCACACTTAAAATATGTAAGCAGGCAGCTTTAGGCCAAACTTAATTTAACATGTCCCAGGGCAAGTGTGTGGTGGCAGGTGGTGGTTTGAATGGGAGGAGGGGCCTAGGCAGCTATGGGAAGTGGCCTGTGGTGTGAGCGTCAGGCATGTGAGGTTTTGTCCCATCTTTTGTCAGACTTGCTAGAAATGGTCAACACCTGGAATGGACACCTTCCATTACGAGTTGTGACCATTAACATCTAAACTATAGATATTTCAACCCTGACTGCTCCTTAGGGATTAGGGAGCTTTTGGAAATCCTGATGTCCAAGTCATACTTCAGACTAATTATATTAGAATGTCTGGCTTCAATCGTTTTTAAAGTTCCCCAGGTGATGCTACTGATGCTACCTTGAGGAACTCAAGGGTCCATGTGCCTTCCCTTGACTGGACTGTTTACCTTTCCCCTAAAAGAAGAATGAAAACAAGAACAACAAGAAGCCATCTGTATATTCTGGGCGGATGGGATGGTCTCCCATTGTCCTCCAAGCTTATCTATGGCATTATTCTCCCTTACCCCACCCAGAGAGACTGCAAGGGTGGAGGGTGGAGTTATGATAGAATGTGGAAGAAGAGGCTATAGGCAGCTCAGGGACAAGAATTAGCTCTACTGGACATCAGCAAAGCCTCCTTTGTAATGAGCTTCTGGCCAGAATCAAGGGTACCTGGGGCCAATAGGACTGCTGGAGCAGGGCTGGAGGGAGCCAGGACTGGCTAGTCATGGGCAAAGGGCAGATTAGGACCTGAGAGGCCAGGAGCCTTCTCCCAAAGAACAGAGGCACTCCATCTCCTCATGGGATGGGAGCCCATGGAGGTAAAGCAAGGGAGTGGCAGGTTATGGATGAGAACTCAGGTGTCCTGGTCCCCTGTAATTTGTATCACAACATATGTGTAATTTGTATCACACATATGTTAAAAAGCTAATTATTGTTCAGCCAAAGTACATGCTGCCTTCTGCTGAGAAGAGAATCAGCCAGCAGGGAGAAGGCCAATGCTCTATAAGGCTTCCCTGGATGTTGAAGGGGCATAGCATCGACTTAAGGGCCTTGCAGTGCTGACACAAGGAGGGAGGGAGACTGGCTTGGCCAAACTCCCATAGCTGTGAGGTGAAACCTGGAACTTCAGGTTACTCTTCAGAAGGGCTCCAAGATAGCAACAGAACACATTTCTTTATTCATCATTCATACATCTTAAAAAGCATGCTTGATTAGAAAAAATCCACAGCTTTCCCCCAGCTTGACTCTCCAGAGGCTGTCGTGGTCCTTGCTCCAGGGAGCAGGTTTACACACAGCATGTGGGGCTCTGGCAGCCGGGCAGCATGGCACCCTGCAAACCTTATTTAGTCTTTGTTTCTCAACATGAGTTAAGTGGGATTTGGGAGAAAATAGTTTTCCATTAATAAAATTGCATACCTCTTTTTAAACTTGGAATAAGAATCTGATTCTGCATTAAGACATGCTTCACAGAAACAGATTCACCAGTAAAGTCCTTTTCAGGAGCCAGAGCAAAGTTTAAGTTGTCAAGAAAAGCAATGGACAAAGCGTTTCCCACGTCTTAGTAGTTCCTGTGCTCTTTTAGTAGTAGTCTTAGTAGGCCCTGTTTAATAGTTGTGTTCTTTTGTGAATTTCCCACCATATTTTTTTTTTTCTTTTTAGTTCTGGGGTACATGTGCAGGATGTGCAGGTTTGTTACATAGATAAATGTGTGCCATGGTGGTTTGCTGCACCTATCAACCCATCACCTAGGTATTAAGCCCACAATGCATTAGTTATTTCCACCTTAAATTTTCACGGGCCTTATTAGAGGGTTTCCATTTTTAATGAAGTACTAATTTCCAGGAAGTAGCTTACCACTGTCTAGGTGTGCATCACAAAAATGCTCAACAAGGTCTGCAGGTCATGTTTCCATTCGGAGAGCGCTCCACTCCAAGCCAACGGTGACCATTTCAGGACTGGCTAGTTGGGGAAGGGAGTGGACACCTGAACCCATGTTTTACTGCGTCTCATGCACATCAGTGCCCCTATAGTAGGTATACCGGGCTGCTGCTGGCGTCCTGCCCTCCTCCCCGGGCTCCTCCTCTACCATCCTAGGAATAGCCGCACCCCTCTGAGAATCCAACCAAACCCATCCCTGTGCTCTGGGAAGCGTGTACCCCAGTGGGTAGCACACTTACTCTTACCTGATCGCATACCCTCTTCCCTTCTCTGTAGGGTCCCAGGAGGGGATTGCAAACCCACTGGGAAAATGAGCGAAGAGACTGTCCCCGAGGCTGCCTCGCCGCCGCCCCCACAGGGGCAGCCTTACTTTGACCGCTTCTCAGAGGAGGACCCCGAGTACATGCGCCTTCGCAACCAGGCGGCAGACCTGCGTCAGGACTTCAACCTGATGGAGCAGAAGAAGCGCGTCACCATGATCCTGCAGAGCCCCGTGAGTGGGGCCGACTCGGGCGGGAGAGGGCACAGGGGGCACTGGCTCTTCAGGGTGCACCTACCCAAAAGATGAGTAACTCCTCTTCCCCTTCCTCAGGGTCAGTAGAAATGTAAGCCCACTGAGCAAGACAAGTCTGGTCACCCGGGCCTTGACTCTCCCTTGTAGCTGATGGATGGCAGAACCTGGCTTGTGTGCGGCAGTTTGGCTCGGTGGTAGGGGAGGTGGGACTGAGACAGGAGTCCCCCTGAGCCTCCTATGCCCCTTTGGAACCTCAGTTCCCAGTCTTTCATTCCCTCCTCACCGAAAGCTGTAACAATGAACGACAAATCCATGTAAACTGGAGACCAGCAGGGATGCCAGGAGGAGGGCTTGGGGCTCCCTTTCCTGAACACCACAAAGTAAGAACTTTCTGTTGGGACAAATGAAGCTTTAACATGAATGAGATGGGACTGAGAAGGGTCTGGAAGCCCCAAGAAGTGCAGAGAGCGGAGGGCTCAGCAGGGCTGTGGGGTGGGGTGCCGGATGGGAGGGCAAGTTGGGATCACTCCTGATTTGCAGCCAGTTGGTCCCTGCCTGGCATGGACACAGAGCTCCCCCTTGGGCAGGTAGTGCCTTGAGAAGGCCGAAGCATGGGCCCAGTAGACCACTGAAGGCAGAGGGAGATCAGTGTGGAGGAGGCAAGAAGGCTATGACTGTGGTAGAGCTTGGGGGGTCCTCAGGAATCAGCCCATGATCCTAAGGATTGGGAAGCCCAGGGACAGAGTTGGCATCTCTAGGTGCTTGCTAGGATGGGCTCAGGAGGTGGGAGCCACTCTGCCTTGGCCCCCTGAGCTCCAGGGAGCCAGGGCCTGTGCAAGGGCTGTGTGCGGCCCTGGCTGGGAGCCATGGTGCACGTTCAGGCTGCTCAGAGCAGCTCCAGGGAATGGGCCCAGGTCTGGGTGATATTGTGTTGGGGAGCCTGGAGGAATATGGCAGATGCTGAAAGCATTGGGATGAGGAGCCCCTGGGAAAACCCCCAGAGTGTGGCTAGGAGGGGTGGCAAGGGGGTTAGGAGAGGTGGCAGAGTTAGCACCAGCCCAGATTTCAGGGCTCAGGCAGGAAATAGGGATTGGAGGAGGGCCTGCTTCCTTCTGTTCTTTTATAGGTTGGCCAACACACTTAAGCGGCTCTCCACTTCCTCCTGAGTGCTTTCTCTTGCCACCTGGTGGGCAGGATTCCTTGCTTATGGCTTCCTGGTCTAAAAAGCCAGGATTAGAGTTGGACATGAGGAGCGGAAGCGACCTCAGTGGTCATCAAATCCTCCTGTTCTTCCTCCTACCATTTCATTAAGCACATGAGGAAACTGAGGCCCGAAAGAGTCACAGGCATCACTAATGGAGAGGGTTGGTGGCTATCTCCATTCAGTTCTACCTTTAAAATGTCCTTCATTAAAGTCCTACCATACCACATCTGATGGTGGGGAGGGGTCTTGGGCCTCATACAGACACAGAAAGGACCTAGAACCTGGATTACTGTCCACAGGGCAAGGGAACACAGGATCCATTCCCATACATTTCTTTGTTGCTTCCCATACAGCAATTCCTGAGGTCCTAGTGGAACTGCTCAGTGTCTCCTGCCACCAGGGATCTCGAGCATGACCTTGACCTAGCTGACCCAGGGGCAAGGGGTGGGCACTTGGAAGAGCTCACTGTTAGGCAGCTGGGCCCAAGGAGCCCTCACTCCTGTGTGAGAGGCTGTGGGGGAACCAGCACCTTGGGGCCTGCTTCAGTCTTTCAGGGAGGAGCTGGAAGGCCTCATTCAGGAGCAGATGAAGAAGGGGAACAACTCCTCCAACATCTGGGCCCTGCGGCAGATCGCGGACTTCATGGCCAGCACCTCCCACGCAGTCTTCCCAACATCTTCCATGAGTATGTGGTGTCTGGGGAGCTGCCAGGAGCAGAATGGGAGGGGAGGGTGGGGTGGGGAAGAGAGGGAGGAGCAGCAAGAATCATCTGGTTGCCAGGCTACGGAGCAAGCAGCCTATTGTATTATCCGGCCTTGGGGAGCTCAGCAGCAGCCAGAGAGGTTACCTGTCTCTGCTTCTGATGTTGTTGCAAATTAAATGTCCACGGAAGTATTACCCCTGATGCCAGGAATGAGAGGGGTGGGGTGACTTCAGTGCATGGGAGGAGACTACTGAAGCCTGTGTCTCCATGCCCCACTAGACAGTCCAACCTGACTCCATAGATGAGGGCTGAGAGGAGCCAGCCAGGGCTATGTGGGAAGCCACCCTCCTGGGCTGTTATGCTCTGCCCGTAACGTTTATAAAACAAGCATCAAAAAATACTCCCCCTCAATAAGATTAATACAGGATTATGGCTAAAAACTGAAAATAACCAAGAAAGGGAACCAGAAATAACTACTGTGTTCTTAAAACCCTCAAATTACTATTCTTAATATTTTGATGAACATATATCCTTCCAGCCCTTTTTTTCTTAACATATATAGATTATGAAAACACATTGCATATGTGATTATATAAATGTAATCATATAAAATATGGTTCTATAATTTAATTTTTGGTGGATACATGCTATTTAATCAATTTCCCATTATTGGACTTTTAGGTTATTTCCAACTTTTTCTATTAGGAACAACAATGCAATGAACATCCTTGTAAAAAAACCTGAGATTATATCCATGATTATTAAAATAAATTACTAGAAGTAGAATTGCTGAATTGAAGTATATGCACACATGTTTTAAAGACTTTAATGCATAATGGCAGATTACGTCCTTTCTCCAAATGGACCCAATTTATGTTCCCAACAGCAATGCAGTAGAGTGCCCATTTCCTTTACCCTGGTTCACAGTATATATTACCATTTGTTTCATCCTCCTGATTCAGTAGGTGACAAATAGTACCTTGTGTTTTAATGTGCATTTATTTGACTACTGATGAGGTTGGATATATTATATATTTTCACATACATATTGGACATGATTTTCCTCCTTTCTCTTTCTCACTCTCTTTCTTTCTACTGCCAAGTAGCTGGGACCGCAGGCATGCACCACCAAGCCCGGCTGATTTTTGTATTTTTTGTGGAGACAGGGTTTCACCATGTTGCCCAGGCTGGTTGAAACTTCTGGGTTCAAGCAATCCGTCCACTTCAGCCTCCCAAAGTGTTAGCATTACAGACGTGAGCCACTGAGCCTGGCCCTGATTTTCTTTTAATAGTAAATTGCCTTTTTACATCCTTTGCCTATTTTCCTATTAGTGTATTATTTTCTTAGAGATGTTTACGTTTTTATAAAGTAAAGCTATTTCTCTATTGTCAGTCAAATATACTGCATTTTCCCCCCAGTTTCTCCTTTGTCTTTTAGTTTTGTTCATGGCATTTTTTTTTTGTCTTGTAGAATTCTTTACTTTCTGTGTAGTGGAAACCATTGTAATTTTCCTTCGTGTGTTCTGCTGTTGATTGCATGCTTAGAAATGTCTTTCCCATGTTTTATCATCTGATGGAACAAATACCCTTAATTATGCATTTCTCATTTTTTCTCAACTGTTTGTACAGGTTTATTCTTTAAAATAACTTTAGGCCAGGCACCGTGGCTCATGGCTGTAATCCCAGCACTTTGGGAGGCTGCAGCAGGTGGATCACATGAGGTCAGGAGTTTGAGACCAGCCAGGCCAACGTGGTGAAACCCTGTCTCTACTAAAATACACAAGTTAGCCGGGCATGGTGGTGCATGCCTGTAATCCCAGCTACTTGAGAGGCAGAGGAAGGAGAATTGGTTGGACCCTGGAGCTAGAAGTTGTAGTGAGCCCAGATTGCGCCACTGCACTCCAGCCCGAGCTACAGAGCAAGATTCCATCTCAAAAAACAAAAAACAAAAAAACAAAAAAACTTTAAAACTTGCCACTGACCTTAAAAATTCCTTTTGGGATTACATTAAATGAATAAGTTGATTTGGTGAAGAATTTATAAATTTATAATTTTATATTAGAATGTAAGCTCTGTAGGGAAATTTGTATGTTTGGTTCACTGCTATATCCTAGAATAGTGTCCTTGATTTAGAATGTATCTAGTACATGGTAGGTACTTAAAAATATTTACATGAGTGAATTGTAAATCTTTTCAGAAATGAGATATGTCTTTTACTTATTTAAGTCTTCTTTAATATCCATCAGAAAAGTTTAGTAGTTATTTTCATGTAGTTCTTACTAATTTCTTATTAAGTTTATCCTGGAATTTTTAAATAACTTTGTTATTTTAAATGAATCTTTGTCTATTCAATTTTCTTTCTGGTTACAGTTCTCATTTAAGATAAATTGTTAGATATATATAGTATACACACACACATGCACACACACACACTAGTCCCTTATTGAACTCTGATTTAAATTTTAGTATCATTTCAATTAATTATTTTGGGTATTGTATATAGAAACATCACATAATCTGCACATCATGGTCATTTTGCTTCTTTCATTTCAAAATTTACCCATTGGTTTATTTTTTTTTCATTTTCTCATTGCATTTGTTAGAACTTTCAGAACAATGTTTAATAATAGATTAGAGAATAGTCATCCTTGTCTTATCTCTGACTTTAATGGAAGTTGTTTTACCACGAGTTTGAGATAATTACTTTTTATCACGTTGAAGAAATATCTTTTTATTCTAGTTCACTATGAGTTTTTCTTAGGAAAGTATGTTGAATGCCATAAAATACATTTTGGCCATTTATTGATTTTTTTTTTTCCCTTGAACTATTGAGGTGATGAGTTGCAGGAATAGATTTCTGAATATTGAACTCTTTTTTCATTACTGAAGTAAATCATTCCTGGTCTTGATGCATTATTTTAAAGATACCCTTCTGGATTTGATTTCCTAGAATTTTATTAAAGATTTTTGCATACATACTCACACATGAGATTGGTTAGCAGTTTACTTTTTGGGCGGTCTTTACCTAGTATGGATATTATGGCTGTACTTTCATAACATGAATCAAGGTTATTTCACTCTCTTTTTTACCCTGATATAATTTAAATAAGATAGGAAATCTCTGTTCCTTGAGAGTTATTATTCACTTACTGGATCTGGAATATTTTTAGGGGTTTTTGAAGTTTTTATCCTCAGTTTCACCTGGAGTTTTTCAATTTATTTTGCTGCTTCTTGGTTAAATTTTGGTCATATATTTTGTGTAAAATAATCCATTTAATGGGGCCTTTCATAATCATTGCGTCATTTACAATATTACTTTCATCATTTAAATTTCCCACTAAAGTAGATGAGATAACATCTCATTCACATTCCTGGTGCTATGTATTTTTACTTTCTCTTTGTTGACCAGTCTAGATATTTGTTTATTCATGGATCTTCTCACATCAGCCAATTCTTGAATTTACTTATTGGTCCTGTTATTCTTTCTGCTTCCTAATTCATTTGTTTTGTTTCTATATTCATTAATTCTTTTTCATAATTTTTCTGCTTATTTTGTTGTTTACATATTTTCTAGAGTAGCAAAAGTGGATTTATTTTCATACTTAATTCAATAATAAAGACATTTAAGGTTATACATTTTTTTCTATGAGTATGTGTTTGGCCTTATCCCAGGGATTTGACACATAGTATGTCTTTAATTGTTAATTTCTAAATAGCTTGCAGTTGCTGTTTGGACTTTATTTTTCTTCTAAGAGCCATCTGGGAGTGTTTTCTCATTTCCAAGTGGTTGAATGCTTAGTCTTTTAAAGGTTTGCTGATAACATGGGATTTTATTGCATTATGTTTAGAAAATGTGGCCTATTTAATTTCTGTGTTGGAGTTGTACTGAGGTTAATCTTTGTGGCCTAATAATAACATTTAGAAATGATAATGGGTATAGACCATCTCTATAGCATGGTATTTGATATTTTTGTTTTAATTTGATTTTGTCAAAAATTTTCTCCCATTATATTTGATTTCTGTTCATTTCTCTAGTATTTATGATAGTTTTTGCTTTCTATATCTTGAAATATTCACAGCATAAGCATCACTGATGGTTATAGCTTCATTATCAATTGTACCTTTAATTCATATAAAATAACATACAAAATAGCTTCTTTGTATAAGAGAATATTGTTTTGCCCAACTTCTATTTTGATAATAATATGATGACCTTTACTTAGTTTTTGTTTATATTTCCCTGATGTGCTGTTGATCGTCCTTTTATTTTTATGTCTTTTGGGCCACTTTATTTCAGTGGAATTTTTTCGTTTTGTTTTGTTTTTGAGACAGGGTCTTGCTCTCTCTCCTAGGCTGGAGAGCAATGGTGCAAACAGAGCTCACTACAGCCTCAACCTCCTAGGCTCAAGCGATCTTCCTGCCTCAGCCTCCCAAGTAGCTGGGACTGCAGGCCTGTGTCACCACACCTGGGCAATTTTTAAATTTTTTTTAGAGACGAGGTCTCACTATGTTGCCCAGGCTGGTCTCAAACTCCTAGGCTCAAGCGATTTTTCACCATCAGCTTTCCAGAGCTCTGGGCTTACAGGTGTGAGCCACTGTGCCTGGCCTATTTTTATTTTTTTGTAAACTTCCTATAGCATTGCCTTCTGACATTCTGTGGCTATAACAGAGAAATTAGATAGCTGATTTTTTTGGTTCCTTTTTAGGTAGCCACATATTTTTTTTTCTAGGTGCTTATGGATATTTTCCCCTTATCCCTATATTTCAGAAATGTTGCCAGGAAGCATATAATTGTAGGGTTTTTTCTTTTTATGAACTTTTCCCATAATGCAGTGAGTACTTGCATGCACAGATCTTTTTTTCAGTTCAGAAAATGTTTCTTCTAATATATTCATATTGCTTATCTATAGGCCGCGTCTCTGGTTTTTGTCTCCCAAATCTGCCATATTATCTACCAATTCTTTCCAAGTCCGTCCTTATACTCTTCCTCCTGACAGAGGAATCAGGCTGACCAGCATTCTCATTGCCTCACTGATCGGCATCTGTCAGGAAGACAGATGGTTGCCTGGAAATCTGCTTAGTACACATCCAGGATATCTGAGTCAGGGATGTGGAGAGGGGAAGTTTCAAGTATCATGAGTTCAAGCCCAGAGAGGCTGTTATTTGTCTAGCTCCATTTGCCTTAGAATTTGGGGTTTTGAGCATCAGTATGCTCTTCAGTCTTAGATTTCAGGGAGCTTGGTGAGTTTTCATCTTTTTCTGTGTTTTCTTAGGTACTTTGACTAAACGACTCAGTTCGATCTGATTTATAAATGTGGCATTTAGCCATCCTAACTTTCATGAGGCCAATTAGAATAAGCTTTTAAAAACTTGTTGTAATATTATTTTATTTTAAAAATAGATGCATAATAGTAGTACATATTTGTGGGGTACATGTGACATTTTTATATGTAAATGTAATGATCAAAATAGAATATCCGTCACCTCAAACACTTATCATTTCTTTATTGGGAACATTCTTCATCTTTTCTTATAGCTATTTTGAAATACACTATTAATTCTTGTTAACTATAGTTAAGTTACCCTATTGTACTTTCAAATACTAGAACTTATTCATTCTGTCTGTGTTTTTGTACTCATTAACCAACCTCTCTTCATCCCCTTCTCTTCAGACTCAGAGCAGGAGATTGGGAGCTCCTTTTGAGCTCTCCTGTTCTCTTTCTCTGCTCCTTGTACCTGTGGGTGAGGTCATCCTCTTAGTTAAACCACTACCAGTTTGGGGAGGAGGATTCTCTTTGATACAGATACAAAGGATGTGATGGAGTGAGTGTTTTCAGACCTGTTCTGTCCCCCTGGCCATCACTGGGGCTCCATAGTTATTTGTAGGAAAAATATTCAAAGAACTGTGGTATAGACTATATAGACCTCCCAACATCAGCCGCACCTGCCTGCGTTTGCCTGGGACCATGTGCTTTTGATATGTCCTCCTTGCTGCTAGGCATGAAGCAAAGAGGTAATTTCTTGTTTTGTCTAGTGAACCCACAGAGAGGAGGAAGTGATCCCAGACTGGTCAATTTGAATTAGAAATCCTTGACTTCGGAAGTTCGTTGTTGTCCTTGGAAGTCTAACTGGGCTTTTGGACCACTGCTGTCCCTACTATCTGTGTTTGCAGGGCACTTGCCCTGGAGGTGCATCACCTCTGGTTGGCATAGGCCCTTGTGTGTGCTTCTTAACATGGGTGATTGAAGGCCTGCTCTGCTCACTGGATGTTACCCTCGCTTTTGTAGACCATGTCATCACTTCCACTAATGGCACACTCGATGTAGGATATACATCACATCATGCTGCAATAAGGTTCACAGAGATGGTAAAAGCTTCCAAAGAACATCCTGATCCATTAAAATCTTCTGTGGGAGCTGGGAGAGGCAGCATCAGGAGGCTGACATCCAGACACCAATTTAAGCCAGAGTCCTTTCCTATTGATTCTCCTATTTGTTCCTAGATGCTCACTAATCCAGGCACTGGGACTCAGAGGCCCTCTGCTCCCTTCTTGAGGCACGTAGGCAGTGTGATCATGGTTAATGGGATAGACTGGATGTCAGCTCCTAGACCCTTGCATGCCCAGAAGACAAGACTATCAAACCCTCTAGGCCCATTTCCAAATCCCTTCCACATCCCCCCAAATTCCTAGAAAGAACCACCACATAGCTAAGGGACTGCATGCCCAGAGAGGAGCCTAGGTACCTGGCCTGAGACCTCTGGCCTTTCAGCCAGCCACAGCTGCACTCACTTCTAGAAGTTTATGACTTGGTTAGAAAATCTTGTGGAAGTTATTTCCAGGCTGATCTGGCTTTCTATTTGCCCTGTTTTTAAATCACAGAAAATGTTATTACCTGGTGTCGTTAAAACAGTGTAGTAGCAGGTTTAATGACTGGTAACTTCATTGAAAATAACTGATGAAATATACCTATGTTTCTAGTTAGAGATTTATTCTTGTTTTGATTCAGTGCCCATCTTCAGAGTTTATGGTAAGCATGGCATTCCCAGAACCCTTCATTCTGTGGCCTTGAGACTTGCCATGATTTTTGAGCAAAAGCTTATCCAAATGAGCAGACTTTATTGGGCACAAATGTCAATTCTGTGGACTCCTCCTCCAGGTAAGGTTCAAAGAGTGTTTAATTCCCTGCCTGGGAAAGTCTCTTGTGCAGTTTTAATGCCAGTCAGAATTTGGAGAACACTGGAGCTTGGAGTATGCTGGAGCCAGGAAGGGGAGGACAGATTGGCTCTGGCCCTAAAAGAGCTGCACTGTCCCTGCAGATGTCTCCATGATGACACCCATCAATGACCTCCACACGGCTGACTCCCTGAACCTGGCCAAGGGGGAGCGGCTCATGCGGTGCAAGATTAGCAGTGTCTACCGACTCCTGGACCTCTATGGCTGGGCCCAGCTGAGTGACACCTATGTCACGGTGAGCAGAGCACCCTTCAGTTGGGTGGGGCACTGCACGTGGTCCCACAAAACCCAAAGGGAGAACTCCTGACCTTTGGTATGGCCATGGCACTGCAGGTGACCTTTGGCCAAAATGCACTGAGCCCTTCCAAGGTTTCTAACCACTGTAGTCATTGATAAAGCAGCCTGCCCAGCGGGTACTTCTTTGGATGGAAAGGAACTCCTGGATCTTATATCTAGAGCTACCCTTGACCACCATGAGTTTCCTTTTGTAGCTCCCTTTCCCCTACTCCAAATGAAGGCTGAGGCCTTTTTATCTCTCATGGGTGGGGGAGAAATAAGGGTTCATTAGAGGAAGACTTGGGTGCAGTGGGTTCAAGAGAAGAGAGGATTCAAGCACAGTGTCCTTGGAAATGTCCCTCTCCCTCCTTGCCCCAGAGAACATGTCTTTCTTCCAGTTGAGAGTCAGCAAGGAGCAGGACCACTTCCTGATCAGCCCTAAGGGAGTTTCTTGCAGTGAAGTCACAGCATCCAGCCTGGTGAGTACAGTCCAGCATCACTGCCCACTCCTTATTGAAATGACAGCACTCTCCCTGTTCCCATAGTGCTAGGTCCTCTCCAAATTGGTCACTGTTGCACTGTGGAGCTCACAATCTGGTGTGGCAGAGAAGACACATGGAACAAACTAAGTGTCCAGAGCATGATGCGACCATGAGACCAATTGCCAGGAGGAGGCAGCAAGTGCAGCCGGAGGGAGGAGGGAGCGGAGATGGGCCTGGCGTCCTCTCAGCAGACTCATGGGATGGCTAAGCCTGGGATTAGGCCACAGTGGTTGGGAGTGGAGGGCCTTTCTGGATATGGGGTACATTAGAATAAGAACCAAAGCAGCACGAGGTTTGTCCAGTGCCAGTACCATTAGAGATGCTTCTGGGTCCCTTTTCAGTGTTGCTCCATTTAGATGAGGTAGAGGCTTTCAAAAGTTGCTTTAGTTCAGGAAAGATTTCTGGTTGGGAGGAGAAAGGCCATAGAAAGGACTGTCTTAGAAGCAGAAAAGGCCCCGTTCTTCTTAGATACATGGGCTGTGGCTGCTGTGCTATGCACCTTGGAGAGGAGGACACCACCTCAGGGGCCTCTGCCTGGCTTAAGACATGCTCAGGTGTAGAGTCCAGCTAGTCACTCAAAAGTCCAGGCTCAGTAAGTCACAGAATATCTAGGCAGGGCAGGACTTCTACTATGCCAAGGCCACTTTAGAGGCAGGAAATGACACTGGTGCCCAGGGAGGGTAAGCACCTTGCTCAAGGCTACCCAGGGAGGTGATGGCCAAGTCAGAGCTAGGACCACAGAGACAAGGATGACATGGGCTCTGTCTGTAAGGTGTACATGGTCTGGTTGGAGGAGAGAGGCGAGGTAATCAGCTATTAAAGCTCGGGGTACAGAGCGTTCCAGTAGAGGTGAAGGAAGCTTGGGGAACCTGGAAAGGGGCACCCTACCCCGCCAGGAGCTGTAGGAGGAAGAGGGAATGAGGGAGGAGGCTTCTAGCTGAAACTACGGAGCAGGAGTGGAGTCAGTGGGATATGAGTCAGTGGGGTGAGCAGACTTAGACCATGGTGGCAAGGAAAGGTTTGGCAGATGTGACTGTGTCCTCGGCAGGAGGACAGCATGTGTGAAGCCCAGATGCATGCAAGAGCCCCATGCATGCATTTGGGAGGACAGGCAAGTGGCTGAATCTGGCTCAAGTATTCAGTATCTGGAGGTGACCTGGGAAGGGAATAGGGTCCAGATGATAAACGGCATGGAAGGTCTTGTTACGGTGTTTGGCTTTATTCTGCTGGACACGTAGAGCCACTGAAGTGCAAGCAGAAGAGGAATGCAAGCAGGTTTCTATTGTAGAAAGATCACTCCGAAAGCTATGTGGAGGCCAACTGACACCTAGGTGGGGTTATTACAGCAAGCTGGGAAGGAAATTCTGGGCCTCTATGCCTAGTGGACCTCGTGATCAGTTGGGTTGGGAGGGGATTGAGTTTGAGGAGCTGGTGGGACATTCAAGAGATGTCAGTTGGCATTTGGTTATCCTAGGTTCAGAAGGGATGCAGGCTAGAGATACAGGTTTATGACACGGGCATGAGATGTTTATGGAGTGTCTGTAGACATAGGGCTGCTATGTGTGGTTGTGCAGTTTGTGTACTGCACAAGGGAGCCTGGCTAATGAGGAAGAGAAGAGAGAGTGAAATCCAACCTGTGCTCCACTCACTAAGTTTGTCCTAGCATTGGGCTTGTTTTGAATTTGCACAAAGGCAATACTCACATACCAAGCCCTGTGTCCCTGGGCAGTCCTCAAGAGAGTGGTACCTGCTTTCTCATTTATACAAATGAGAAAGCTTCCCCTTGGCCAGGTTCAGGGAGTCAGCTGTTTGTATACAAAGGTACTGTATGGGAGGGTGTCTGTTGTATTAGGCTGTGGAGGTTCTTAAGTGACAACAGATCACACATGTAACGATAAGGTATAAAACATGTAAGATCAGAGAAAGATCATCCGAGAGGGGGAATTCAAAACAGGCCACATATCCAAGGAAGTAGGGGAGCTGGGCTGAGGGAAACCAGAGGGCAGCACTCCACACTCAGGTTTAAAGTACCTGAGATGGGAGAGTTTGCTGCAGCTTCCAGGAGCCACGCTGCTTTGACGTCTGTGTACTTCACTTAAAATAGGATGTTGTAAGTGGAGGTTTGTTGAACATCTTCCTGACGCTGCATAAGCAAACATCAGCAGCAACAACATCAGCATCAACATTCCTCTGCCCACATTAGAGTTGGTTTCCCTTCTTTGATCCCCATCTTGACTGCCTGAGCTTTCTGGGGTAGGGTGGTGGGCAATTTGAGGAACTGCTCTGTGTGCTACATTCAGGATATCATGAGTGCTTCAGTTTTAAGGGCTAAAGTTGTGAATTTTGGAGACTATTATCTGGTTTGTTAATGTCCAGGGAACAACTGTAGTCAGTGAAGTTAGGTTAACTCACAGCTGCCAGGAGACTGCACTCAGAGAACCAGGGGAGGCGTTCAGTGGGAGTAACATTGGAAGGTGCTGTCTTCAGGATTTGGATTTGTGCTGGGCGATTCAAGAGAGTTCTGTTTACCTTGGATTGTGGGCTTTCAGGACACGGAAAATTCTGATTGAATATTTTACTACTTTTAATCCAGGAGGCAGGGGAGTGGGGGCATGGAGTGAGGCTAGAGCTGTCATTGGTAAAGCAGCCGCAGCCTCTCCGAGCCTCATTGAGAAAGGGCTCAGTGTAGACATTACTTCCCCTGGAAGGCCTCTGGGATGCTCCTGTTGTGCTGGGATGAAAGGCTCCACCTGTCTCTGTCTAGAGAATTTTGTGCATGACTCTGTTTCAGCACTTTGCTACCCCACATGTGGTCTGTGGATCACTTGAGAACTTGTTAGAAATGCAGGCTCTCAGGTCCCCCTCAGCCTATGAATCAGAACCACATTTGACTGGACTTCGGGTGATTCATGTGCACAGTCAAATCTGAGAAACTCTGCTCTCGCATTTCTCCTGCTGAATTATAATTGTCTGTGCTTCCCTTAGACCGTGTGCTCACTGAGGGCAGAAACTGGTTTGTTTTCTTCCAACACCAAGTCCGTCATTGCTCATGGTGTCTGGAGTGTGTGAAGATAGGTGGGCAGCACAGCCTGGGCCCACCAGCTGGGAGAGGAGTAAGGGCCTCCACCACCCTGTTGCCATAAGTTTCTCTTCTTTCTTGGTGCAGATCAAGGTGAATATTCTGGGAGAGGTGGTGGAGAAGGGCAGCAGCTGCTTCCCAGTGGACACCACGGGCTTCTGTCTGCACTCGGCCATCTATGCAGCGAGGCCCGACGTGCGCTGCATCATCCACCTGCACACACCGGCCACAGCAGCGGTGAGTGGACTCCTTCTCAGCCACCCAAGCAAAGACATAAACCAGCCGAGACTCTAGTACTCTCATCATTTAAAAAAGTCTGGAAAGATCTAGAACTCAGGCCAAGGTGAAGTGAGAGAACTCCCAATGTGGAATCTCCCAGCCTCTCCATCTTTCTGACTACTGAAGTCAGTATAATGTGAAGAGGTGGAATGTCTGTTCCATCGCGTCCCCCACCCTGCTGCATACACAAGCTGGGACCCTTGCCCTGGGGACAGTGCCTCCTAAATTTCTACTCAGGTCAGTCCTGTTGGACCAAAGGGTGGGGCCTGCCCCCATGAAACCAGGCTCTGGTGAGGAGATATGTTGACAGAGGACAAGTTGGTGGGAACCTGGACTGTGCCCACTTTCCCATAGTTCAGGGTAGGCTGAGAGTAGGGGGTGGAGCAGGCAAAACTGGGAGCAAGTAGAAGGAAGAACCTCAAGGAGCAGATTGTCCCGCTCTGGTCATTTCTCCATGTGTGCCTAAGACACTGCAATGTCACTTAGATGGCAGATAAGTGGGTGGGGTAGGCAAAACTGGGAGCAAGTAGAAGGAAGAACCTCAAGGAAGAGGTTGTCCCGCTCTGGTCATTTCTCCATGTGTACCTAAGACACTGCAATGTCACTTAGATGGCAGACAGTCAGTTCTGGGCACTCTCCCGGACCCCCACCCCATCCTGCTGATCCCCGGGCCACACACCTGCAGGGACAGAGTAGGCTGACTTGTCATCAGCCTGTTTTCTTAGCAAAGCACACTGATTATGAGCATTCAGACCTTCCAGAATTTGGACTAAGATGTGAAGATGTATTTGTGCCAAGGGTACATCTTTGCAGAGCTCAGGGCTGAGTCAGGGCAGAATGAGTGAAGGAGGGCAAGGGTTCTTCTAAACGTCTCCATGCTCCTTGCTTTAAAAACAAATTACTGCACATTCTGTCCACCATGAGCAGCTCACTTTTAGTAAGTGATGAGGGAATGGGTTACAACCTGTATTTCAGCCCTGGTCCCCAGCATTTGTATTGTCCCAGTCTCAGAGGCAAGAGATTGCTTTTGAGATGGGACCTTAGTATTGGGCAGCAAATAATTTCATTCAGTTTAACATGGGACTTTTCAATGGGCCTCTCTGTTTGTCAAAAGTCGTGGCCTTGTCTGCACTGAAACCAAAGCTGAGGGTCTCCAGCCTATCCGAAGAGATCTGGATTCTGCTTACTCCAGCTTGGTGCAAATTGCACCACAGCCTGCCTCTTTCCAGAGTTGTATGACAAGAGCAAAGCTGTGTGTGAGGTGGGGGGAGTGGGATGAGCGGCAATAGCTCTCTGGAGTACATTCTTTCTAGCAATTCAGAAAGGTGATATGTTGACATGGCTGTTGTGAAAACAGTGATGGAAAGACGCCAGAGCAAGCAGCGTGACAGCACAGCCAAGCCAGGGGTGGAGGAGCCCAGGCCTTTCTTGTGTCTGCCCCCCACCCTTACCCCCACTGGCCCCTGGAGTGGAGCTGGACTGTGCTCCTCTGAGGAAAGGGCTGGGAGGGCTGCAAGTGCTAACCATGCCATTGTTTCTCTAAGGTGTCGGCCATGAAGTGGGGCCTCCTGCCTGTCTCCCACAATGCCCTGCTGGTGGGGGACATGGCCTATTATGACTTCAATGGGGAAATGGAGCAGGAAGCTGATCGGATCAACCTGCAGAAGTGCCTTGGACCCACCTGCAAGGTTAGCTTAGCTCTTCTGGGACAATAATCTGGAGTGGCATTGTCAAAAGCCAACATCACAAAAGTGACATGTGTTCGTTGGACAATAAGGGAGGGAGAGGGGGGAAAAAGAAAGAAAGAGCTCCCTATACCACTTCCCTGAGATCTTTGTGGTTACCCCAAATATATTCAAATTTATATTTGTAAAACTAGTATCATAAAATAAGTTATTTTTGCCCCAGCAATATATAGTAAACACCTTTGTATGTTATTAAATATTTTCTCTATCACCATTTTAAATTATTAAATTTAATTAAATGATACGACTATTCACAGACTTCATTATGTGAATAGTTGCGGTGTAATTTACCTGCATACTCTTTTGTGTGTTTTTAGAAATACCTTCTAAAAACATTAGAAGGTATTTTTCAGTTGGGTGCAGGATTCATGCCTGTAATCCCAGCACTTTGGGAAGCCAGGGCAGGTGGACCACTTGAGCCCAGGAGTTCAAGACCAGCCTGGGCAACATGGCCAAATCCCATCTCTACAAAAAACACAAAAATTAGTGAGGTTTGGTGGTATGCACATGTGGTCCCAGCTACTTAGGAGGCTGAGGTGGGAGGATCGATTGACCCCAGAAGATGAAGGCTGCACTGAGCTATGATCACACTGCTATATGCCATCCTGGGCAACAGAGTTAGACTCTGTCTCAAAAAAAAAAATAAAAAGATTAAAACAACACATTGATGAAAATTATTTCAGCTAAATCTTTGTGTGAGCTTGAGAGGAGTTTCTTAGGATAAGTTCCTAGGGATGAATGGGCTAGAACTCTCACTTCATGTCACCAAATTGCCCCACACAGTTCGTTCACTCTCCTACCCCGTTTCTAGGCTATTAGAATCCTACTTCCCTTCAGTGCAGTCTCCCCAAACTTGAGTGTTGTTGCCTTTATTTTTCTGCCTACTTGCAAGAGAAAAATGGAATCTTATTGCTGCTTGACTGAATCTTGAGCCCTGTTTTATAACAGCACATAATTGGGGGTGGTTAGCTCAGCATTGCACAGCCACGGAGCCTAGTGTGGGTTCATAGGTTCTTTGCCACTGTCCTGGCAAGGGATGCACTGCTCGAGTCATTTCCCACGAGTCCCTGTCTTCTCATCTCTAGCACGGTGAGGTGTCCTGCCGCTCTCTCCTGAAAGCGTTATTTAGAGTGCGGAGAGAGGATGGAATGGTCACATCTAGGAAGTGCTATGAGAACTTGAGAGATGGGATATTCGTGGTTTGTGGTACTTTTTGTGGGCCACAGTTATCATCTCTTTCTGTTTCTCTGCCACTGGCATGGAGAAAATACCAGCTGTTTTCAGCAAGAGAGGATGTGATGTTTTGAGCTACCAGACTTCAGCCCAGGCTCTGCATAGAGACAGATCTGACACATGGATCTGTGTCCCAGCTCCCAGGCAGGCGTCATGTGGTTCCAGAGAGTTCTTGAGAGTAAAACCAACAAAGAAAAGTTTTCCGGCAGGGAAGATGCACTGTGGGGAGCCGTGCTGTTGGTACAAATTCAGTTTGGGTTTCCCAACTTTTGCCCACTTTTCCCTGACTGAGTCTAAAACATTGCACTAATAGTGAGAACCCCTGGCTTCTAGTTCAGATGCTTCCCCTAATTCACTGGGAGACTTTCAGGTTTTTTTGTTTTTTGTTTTTTGTTTTGAGATGGAGTCTTGCTCTGTCACCGGTTGGGGTACAGTGGCACGATCTCAGCTCACTGCAGCCTCCACCTCCCAGGTTCATATGATCCTCCCACCTCAGCCTTTTGAGTAGCTGGGACTACAGGCACACACCATCACACCCAGCTAATTTTTATGTTTTTAGTAGAGATGGGGTTTCACCATGTTGGCCAGGCTGGTCTTGAACTCGTGGCCTTAAGTAATGCACCCACCTTGGCCTCCCAGAGTACTGGGATTACAGACCTGAGCCATTACACCTGGCTGAGACTTTTAGTCTTTTCAGGCTTTTATTTTCTTCTTATCCGTAAAACCAGTGAGTTAGATTAGAAGGTCACTGTCTTTCTAGAGCTGTGAGATCTCAGAGCTGACAGGGCCTCATTGAGTTTATGGTGCAGAAACCTAAGGCCCAGAGAGGTGATGTGACTCACCTGTTTCTGTAGGGCCACCTCTCAGAGAACCGCCCCCTGTCAACTAAGTTTTGACTCCCAAGTCAACTAAGTCACAGGAGCAAGAGACTGCTTTTGAGGTGGGAACTTTGTATTGGACAGCAAATAATTTCATTCACTTTAATATACGCACCAGTTTTTCAGGCTTCTAAGCTTTCCAAGGCCTAAAAAACCCAGGCATTGCCTAAAGGAATTGACCAAGCTATTTAGTTTCAGTTTTAAAAAGACTTTTCAATTTCAATTTTTAAAATGCCTAAAAACCCAGGCATTGCCCAAAGAAATTGATCAATCTATTTAGCCCCAGTTTTAAAGTGCCTTTTCAATTTATTAGGGTGGATGCTTTGAGTTAAAATCCCAAGTGGAGTAGCTTTGGAGTATTTTATTAGAGAAAATAAACAAGGAGTTGGGGAAAGGGGCCCTGGGATCGGTTGTGGAAGTTTATCTAAATAAAATGAAAAACCTCTCCCTCTTAACTAAAGTTTAGAAGGCTTAAGGTTTTAATTGACTGTTTACTCCTCTACAGATCCTGGTGCTAAGAAACCATGGAGTGGTTGCTCTGGGTGACACTGTAGAGGAGGCATTTTATAAGATCTTCCACCTGCAGGCTGCATGTGAAATACAGGTGAGCAGATTCCCCTGGGAAGTGGGCCCAGGGGTGGGCTCTGACAGGCCTGTGGGCAGAAGTGGTGACTCCATTGGCTGTGATTCAGGGAGTCTTTTGATCCCAGCCTTCTAAAAGCTTTGCCCTATTTCTCTGCCTTGGCACCATTCTATCCTTCTAAAGTTTCACATTTAGGGTTAGTTCTTTGGCTTTGAAAAATGTATCAGTATTGCCTAACAACCAATAAATACCCAATTCTTGAGGGTCAGTGCCCAGTCTGGGGAGTTGCCTGGGCTCATCAGCTGGACAGTGGGAGAAACTGTAATAAGGCATAGAAAAGTCTACCATGCTGATGTTACGTGGGCTATACCTGCTGCACCTATGCCCAGCAGACACACAGATAGGTTTTATTTTATTCGTTGAGGGTAGGGGGTTGGTTTGCAAAGGCCAGGAACATGGTCAAGTACAGAAAGAGGAGTGGAAAGCAGGCCACTTGGAGTGTTGACGTGGCAGCCTTCACAGCCAGGGCAACCCCAAGTGATGTCCAGGAAGCCCGTCATGGAGTCCCTAACTGGGAAGGGATGGAGAAGATGGAGTGTCAGTGATCACGGAACCCCTAGAGGAGTTGATGGAGAAGCAGTAGGAAGACAGACAAACCTGTAGTTGTATAGACAACAAGGTGGTATTGGATAAGCCAAGCACACACTTTTCAATGTGGCAGGTTGGTCAGGAGCGAGTAGGGGGCCTTACATAACCCTGAAAAGACCTTATTAACCAGGCTGACCAGGCTCCATCCACCCCGCTCTGGGCTGTGTGCCCTTGGGTAGAGGACTTGTCCTGCTTGAGCCTCTGTCTCCTCAACTGCAGAAGTGGGGCCCAGCGGGTTGCTGTGAGAACACAAGGAGGGGTGTTGCTGATGGTATTTTTAGGACTCAACTGACATACGGGAGGCCCGTTGCCCCTGGATGAGTCAGCTCTTTGCCCAGCCCCTTAGTGTCCCGTCCGCCCTCTCCTGGCTGGCCTAGGCAGAGCAGCACCCAGAGGAAGAGGTCTTTCTCTCGGAGGTAGTCTGGGGAGATTGAGATCTGCCAGGAAGCATTGCTGATGGAGGCTCTGCAGCGGGACCCTTTTAATTGTTTTTAAAGGAATATGTGGTGAGGACAGCTGTGAAGATAATGATGAAGTATTAAAGGCAGTGGTCAGAGCAGGGGAAGGTGGACACAGACCCAGCTGGTGCCTTTCTGATGTGATGTGGTGTGACCCCCACCCCGCCCAATCAAAGATTCTGGCCCTGAGCTCTGACCACTGACCGCTGGAGAATCTGGTGGAGCCGCTGGGATATAGGGAAGCTACTCTGTCTTCCCCACATCTGAACTCTTAAGAGCTCTCCATCTTCTCCTGTAAAAACTTCATCTCTGCAAAGACAGCTCAGCCCTAAAAATGAATAGAGAGAGATGCCCATGCTTCGTACCACCCCACATGGTGAAGTACACCTCTCCCAGGATCCAGACCTCCAGAAACAGTTTCTGAACAGTTTAAAGGGCAGAGCTGCAGGCTACTGTCCCTGACAGCCCCCATCCCCCAGCTGCTGTCACTTTCTTTTGAGGACTAGTTTGCTGAGATCTTGTGACAGGACCTCAGGCAATGCAGAGAGATAACCCCAGGCTCCAGTGGCCTTTTTTTATCCCCCAGCTGATAGAGCAGAGAGGTTTCTAGAGGCGGGTATAGAGCTGGAAGATGTGGAAGAAAAAAACAGGAAAGCTTAGAGGAGGCGTGGGTGGATCGGGGCATGAAAGAGCCTAGGTAGCAGCGACTGCAGGTGCTGCTGGGAGCGCAGCCCTGGCCAGGTCATTTTTGGGTGAAGCAGCCAGCACTGACACTCTGTTTCCACTATGGGCCAAGTTTTCTCCCTTGATGACCTTGGCAAACAAGCAAACGTGGCTGTGGTCATGTTCATAGTTCAAGGCTGAAAGCCTATTCATTTCTCCTGGGGATGGTGTTCTCTCTGCTCCCCATCAATTTGGGGTTCCAGGAAACTGGGTCATCCCCCACCGAGAGAGGCAGATCCCGGCTCTGCTAACAGGCAGATGGGAAGCAGCTCAGGCAATTCTTCTCCATCTGCTACCCATCACCATGGAAACCTGGGGAGGAAAAGCTAGATGGGAGGAGGCAGCCCTTGCAAGGTTGTGGGAATTCTCTCCCTCTCTTCTTCTCCATTAAGGATGGGTCCCCAGGGAATAGCACTTCTCAAAATTCATTCATGCAAACATTTATACGGCACCTCATATGTACCAGGTACTACACTAAGAGCTTTAGATCTATTACCTTAAAGACTCCTCACAAGGTAGGTACTGCTATTTTCATTTTACAGATGAGGAAACTGAGGCACAGAGATGATAAATAGCTGTTAAAAGTCACACAGTGCATAAGTGGCAGAGCCAGGATTCAAACCCAGGCAGCCTGGTGCCCAGGTCTGTGCCCTTAAACACTACCTGGAAAAGTGCTGGCTCTCCAGGTCTATGAGGGGCAGTGGGAGAGGTCTATCTTCTGCTTGATATGTGCCTTGGATGAGAAGGGCATAGATAATGTTATTGCTTCCCTCTCTTCACAGGGTGATGGGGGTCACCTGGGAGGGCTGCGTGGCTGACCTCAGAGAAGTGTCACAGGGGCATTTGTTAAATGATGAATTTAACACACTCCAAGGTCTGTCCCTGATCCTCTTGGGTGCATAGAGCTGTGTTTGTCAGCAGGTTAAATTGGATTTTTCATTTCCAGAAAAAAGTAACTGTCACAAAAATACTGAAAGTTTGTGTAATTACAGCAGTTTCCCATAACAAGCAGGCTAACATGGGATATCATATTTTACTCAGAATGCAAATATAATACTGTGCAGTGCAAAACACCTGGCTCACTACCTGGAATATTCAAAAGCCATTGTCTCTTTATGTAGCTGGATTTATCATCTAGGAAGCCAAACCCTAACCAATTATATCTGAGTGGTAGATACATGGGGGTAAACAGAATGTACCATTAGATGAGCATGGAATTAAATGAATAAGGGGATGTGTTAGATTAATGAATGTTTTTAGAATCATTCTAAAATTGCCTGCTACATACACACACCTCTTATCCTAATACACAGAGTCCATTGCCTACAACCACTTGCATTGCCCTCCCCATGGAGCCTTGACAGTGGAACAGACACTCTAAGTCTCTGGGTGGGAACTCACCCCTGCACAGTGCTTGGCTGTACATGTACACTATAGGCATTTTATCTGTCTCCTTTTTCTGGGTTTCTATGACTGACTAACCCCATTGTAGAGAATGCATTCTCCTTTTAGACCTGTGAATCCATCCCATCAGGTTACGACTAGAATTCATGGCTTGGGAGCCAGCCTGTTTCTTTCAAGTGACGTTTCAAAAAAATATAGGAGAAGCCAGGCATGGTGGTTCATGCCTGTAATCCCAGCACATTGCGAGGCCAGGGCAGGTAGATTGCGTGAGCCCAGGAGTTTAAGACCAGCCTGGGCAACATGGCAGGACCCCATCTCTACAAAAAATACAAAAATTAGCTGGGTGTGATGGTGCACATCTGTAGTCCCAGCTACTCAGTAGGCTGAGGTGGATGGATAGCTTAAGCGTGGGAGGTTAAGACTGCAGTGAGCCGAGATAGTGTCACTGCATTCCAGCCTGGGTAACAAAGACAGTGTCTCAAAATGAAAATAAAAAACATAGGAGATATTTCAAACATACAGAGAAATGCAGAGACTAACATAATAGACACCCATACCTACCACTCAGATCAAACATATTCATGACCTCTGGCTTCAAATCTTAGAGAAACAAAATACCACAGCCAAGAACTGCCTTCTTTTCTAGTCTCATCTTCCCTCCCTCCTCAGATAGAATCACAATTCTAGGTTGGTCTATATCCCAGGTTACTTACAGTCTCTGTTTTGTTTGATTCTTAAGGTTTAACACTTGCTATTTCCTTCCTTATAATCTCTAAGAACTGGCATCAGGAAATAAACTAATAGCTATTTTCTTGGAAATGGGTGCATGCCCATCAAGTGTGGGTGGCTCTTTCTCAGTTTGGCAGACATATCTGGTCTCTAAGCTCTCCTCTGTGACCCCCATTCTCCCATCACATACAGGAGCATAGATAATTGCAGTAGACTCGTGTGCATGTGGGCTGAGGGCTGCCTGCTCTTTGCTGCAGGTGTCAGCTCTGTCCAGTGCCGGGGGAGTGGAGAACCTCATCCTTCTGGAGCAGGAGAAGCACCGGCCCCACGAGGTGGGCTCTGTGCAGTGGGCTGGGAGCACCTTCGGGCCTATGCAGAAGAGCCGGCTGGGGGAGCACGAGTTTGAGGCCCTCATGAGGATGCTGGACAACCTGGTAAGTCTCCTGCCATTGCCCTTCCAGGCCAGTCTGTTGAGGCTTAGCCCTTTGGAACCAGGAAGTACAAGGTGTTGGGTGGGCACAAGAACTGCCAGCATCACAGGTTGTTGAAGCCTCATTGATGGGAAATTTGATTTAGAATGCCTGGTTATTCTAATAGCAGTTGAATTTTCACAAATTGTAAACTTTGCCATCCCCAACTAAGTGCTGTGGATGTTGTCTTATCTGCAGAGTCCTCTGTGAAAAGATGTAGTCCAGTAAACACTGAGACACAGAGCCTATCTTACATTGGGGCTTTGCTCATACCTCTTACGTAGTTAGTTCTGCCTTTCTGTCCAATTTCATGACTTGAATGCAGAAAGCACATAATACTACTGATTTCCTTAATCCTAGGCAGCACCTTTTTAACAATGCCCTATTATAATGAATAAATGAACCAATCAATCGTGTAAGGAATTAAACTGATATATGTCTAGGAGTGGGCTGGCTCTTCAAAGGATGCAAAAAAATTGTGAGACATTCTTCCTTCTTCTAAGGGCTACCAATTTAGCTGATAATATGGGATATAAACAAGTGACAATTCAACAAGAGGAAAGCATATGCAATAAGGAGTGCTAACTGCATAAGAGACTAACTTCTTAGATTGCTCAGAGAAATGAAAGATTATATTTATCTTTATAACATTCTGTCTGATTCATTTTTCTCATCCTCACTGCTACTGTCTTGGGCCTTCTTTATCATGTCAAGGTTATTGCAATAATTAATAACATTTCTCCTTGCCTTCATTTCCTCCAAATCATCTCTACTTTGTTACTAGGCTGACCATGAGGGCCACTTTATAATGATGAAAGGTACAATCCACAATAAAAATACAACTCCCATTAACATGTGTGTGCTGAGTAATCTATGCCTAAATAAAGCACCATGACTAGATGGTTTCATACAACAATTCTTTCCAACCTTTAAGACACAGGTAATTCTTAAGTTATTTAAAGTGTTTCAAAGAGGAATAAAAAAAGAATACTAAGCCATAATAATTGTAACAATATCTTAGACCAGTTTTTCTCTAAATGTTGATGAAAAATGCTGCACGAAAACTGGTAAATAGTATCAAGCCTAATAATAGAATAATCATATACCATAACTGATGGCTCATTTCTGGAATTCAAGGATGGCTTAATAATATAAATTTATCAATCTTTTAAATGTATTTCATGATACTGAAGCATCAAAGGTTAAAAACTTTTGATCTGTCCAGTATGGTGGCTCACACCTGTATTTGCAGCACCTTTGGAGGCCCAGACAGGTGAATCACCTGAGTCCAGGAGTTCAAGACAAGCCTTTGCAACATAGCGAGACGCTGTCTCTACAGAAAATACAAAACATAGCCAGGCATGGTGGCATGTGCCTATTAAACTTTTAAACAAAACAATTATTCTTGGTCATAGCACTATTATTTAATATTATTCTTGAATAATATTGGAATTCAATCCAAGGCAATGAAGCATAAGAGGTATAAATATTGTAAAAGAAAGGAAATTATTATTTACAGATAATATGGTTACATGCCTATAAAGGCCAAAAAAAAAATCAACTGAAAAAAAAATTAGAAATAATGAGAATACTTTTACAACCACCCGATGGGTTCTTCCTGCCCATTGCACAAGCAAAAGCAATTCATACAGACCATGGCATTGCAGTAAAGAAAGAGTTTAATTGATTCAAGGCCAGCCATGCCATGCAGGAGACAGAATCAAATCAATCTCACTGAAGCCTCAGAGGTTAGGAATTTTTTCAAAGGGGGGTTTTCAAAGATTCCTGGTCTTAAACTCTTGGGCTCAAGCGATCCACCTGTCTCGGCCTCCTAAGGTGATGAGATTACAGATGTGAGCCACCGTGCCAGAAAGATTCATAGGCAGTTTGGTGGGTAGAGGGCTAAGGTATGGGTGCTGCTGACTGGTTGGGGATACAATCATAGGTGTGTGGAATATGGTCCTCATGCACTGAGTCTGCCTGTGGGTGGGGGCACAGGACTGACTGAGTCCCAGGGTCATCCAGTTGTCAGAAATGGAAAAGCCTGAAAAGACATCTCAAAAGGCCAATCTTAGGTTCTACAATAGTGATATTATTTACAGGGGTAATTGGGGAAGTTGCAAATCGTGTGACCTCTGGAATAATGGCTGGTAATTATTTAACTATGCCTATATCTTAGTAAAATTCAGGCCCCTCTCATCTTCTTAACTTGGTGGTCTTTCGTTAGTTTTACAAGGGCAGTTTAGTTTTTGGGAAGGGCTATCATCATTTACACTATAAACTAAATTTCTCCTGAAGTTAGCTTGGCTGACATCCAGCAATGAACAAAGCCAGCCAGCTTGTGAGGCTAGAAGCAAGATGGAGTCAGCCATGTCATATCTTACTTCCTTACCTTACTGTCATAATTTTGCAAAGGTGATTTCAGTTTAAAGTGGTCAACTATGTAAATATATACAAAAATCAGTAGTTTTTGTATCTTATCATTAACTACTTTGAAAATATAATGGGAGAAAATAATCCTATTTGTAAATGGAACACGATCATAAAACATTAAAAAGCAGAATCCATTTTCTTAAAACCATAAAACTTTATTAATAGACATCAGAGAAAACCCAAAGTCAGTGAAGAGCTATAATTTATTCTTGGTTAGAAAGCTTCAATAGTGTAAAGAGGTTACTTCCCCAAAATTAATCAGTAAACTCAATGTAATTCTTTCAAAAATGGGGGAAGGTATGAGGACTTGACAAATGTCCTTCTATGTGAAATTCAGGATGGCTAGGACAATGCTATAAAAGAAAAGTAATTACGAATACTAATTCCACCTTATGACAAATTGTGATAAAGCTTTAGCAATTAAATGGTGTGGCACTAGCAGAATGGGTGTGCAAATCAACAGCTTAGAGAATCCAGAAACAGGTCCAAAATATATGATACTATAACACAGGAAATGCAGGTACTTTATAGATCAGTGGGGGAAAGATAGACTACTAGCCATCTGGGAAAAAAAAAAAAAACTAAGGCAGATTGCTACTTCATTTATTTCAACAAGATAAATTCCTGGTTTATCAAAATGGTAAACATAAAAAGCGAACTCATAGGGGTATTAAAAACCATAGATTTATGTTTTTGATTTCCTTGTGTTAGGGAAGACTATCAAGCATGGCAGAAAAGTCTGCAATCATGACAAATATTGATAGATATGATATAAAACAATTCAAAACTTGCATTTCTATAAACCACTCCCCCACCATAAACAAGGTAAAAGACAAAATATGGAGGGAAGTATTTTCAGCATCTCTGATAGCAAAAAAAATAATATTCTTAATGTACAAAGAGCTTACATACAAATCAATGTGAAAAAGAGAAACATCAATAGAAAAATGGGCTGAGAACATAAACAATTTACAAAAGAAAATATTTAAGTAGCCATTATATGTAATTGGAAATACCCATTTTAATAGTATCAAACATAAATGGACACACCTGTGTATACATAGAGATATGACCCCTAGAGACAACCTGGAAAGGTTTTTAGTGGTTTTCTCTAGGGGTGATATTTTGCATAAAATTCAGCTTTTTCCTTTTATTTTGCTTAATTTTTTTCTACATGGATCTGTATTTCCTTTATTATCAGAAAAATACCTTACTATCAATTTAATTTTAAAAGAAGACAAGGAGAGCTGAATATTGCTCCAATAGCGGCCAAGATTCCAGAATGTTTGTTCTCTCTGAGAAGCAGTCAGCTCCAACTCAGAGGGACGTGGCCTTGCTTAGGAGACAGGAATGTTCTTGAGTCTGATTTCAGGGTTCCAAGAAGGAAGTTGTTAAGAAGCTTCAGAGTCAAGGAAGGGAAGGGTGACTGTTAAATCAGCTGGGAAGCTTTTCAAAATCCTGTAGCCTGGGCCATACTGTGATCTGATTCAACCAACAGCTCTGCAGCAGGGCCCAGGCATCATTGTTTGTGTGAAGCTCCCTCGGTAATTCCAGTGCGCAGCCAGGGCTGGGAGCCACTGGACCAGAGGATATCTGGCTCCATTTGGATGAGGAGCTTTGTCTCTCTGGTCCACAAAGGTCTAGGGATTTTCTCAGCCCTAATCACAGAGGACTTATTGAGGTAGAGAAAGAGAAGTACTGGGGGACCAGGAGAAGGGAACGGTTCTGAAATATACCAGAATAGTGGCAAGCCAAGATTGCTTAATGGAGATTTGGGTTTAAATGAAGAGTCCTTTAAACAGAGGGAGGCAAAGTGTGGGTGCATGTATGTACATGTACAGGGTTTTTTTCTCACCCCGAAGTGGTTCTATTTTTGTCTTTCTAGGGCTACAGAACAGGCTACACGTACCGCCACCCCTTTGTTCAAGAGAAAACCAAACACAAAAGTGAGGTGGAGATTCCAGCCACAGTCACAGCCTTCGTGTTTGAGGAGGACGGCGCCCCAGTACCCGCCCTGCGACAGCACGCCCAGAAGCAACAGAAGGAGAAGACCCGCTGGCTCAACACGCCCAACACCTACCTGCGGGTCAACGTGGCTGATGAGGTCCAGAGGAGCATGGGCGGCCCCCGACCCAAGACCACGGTAAGGGAGAGCCCAGGACAGACCCAGGCAGAGAGGGGCAGGCTGCATTTGTGGGGCAAAGCAGCTTTAAAAAGGGAACAGAACAAACGTCTCCTGCCCCAGGTTAGTGGCATCCTCTTTGGGCTTCCTATTGGGCATGTGGGGGCAGCTGCTCAGGCCCACTGAGCCCCTGACTTCTTCCTTGCACCTCTGCACTGAGTTTTTGGGTCTAAGGAGCAGATTTCTCCAGAGGGCAGTTGGACCAGGCACATGACCCAGAACCAGTTGGTTTGTGCTGCTTTCTCCCACATCCACGGGGGGCTTCTGGGAAATTCAAGGGACGAGCCTTTAACATTGGGACTGCAGATCTGATGCAAGTTCAGCCCAGAAGGTGGGCTGGCAGCCGCTTTCTATGAAGTTACGTTTTCTCTCCCTCTCCCCACCCACAGGCTCTCAATTTTTCATTAACATAAAAGTAGCCAATAGCCAAATAGAGTACCTCTTCATAAAACAATATGATGCTCTCCAAACTCAAATCTACTTAACCTAATCCTGAAGCCCAAGTGGTTGCCTATGTGTTAAAGCTGGTTCCCAAGGTTCTGACCCCGGCTCTCAGACATTCTTTATGGCTGACCCTTGGCCTGAGGGCCTTCTTTGGCAGCTGGGTCATCTGTTGCCCGTCTCTGCTCCTGGAGACAGACATCAAAGAGGCCCAAGAAGAGACAGTGTCTATGAGTAGGCTTGCTGACCTTCCATGCAGGCCTGTGGGCCCAGATCTCATGGGTAGACCACCAGGGAGGATGCATGGGCCTGTTCGTTCACCTCAGCCCATGGCCTTGTGTTTGTGCAGTGGATGAAGGCTGACGAGGTGGAGAAATCCAGCAGTGGCATGCCGATTCGCATTGAAAACCCAAACCAATTTGTGCCTCTCTATACCGACCCCCAGGAAGTGCTGGAGATGAGGAACAAGGTAAGTGGGGGCTGTTTATCTCACTCTCTTTTCCCACATGGTGGGGGTCTCAAGTCCCGCAAACAGGAGCTAAGGTCCCAGGATGTGCCTGACTCGCTGACATCTCAGATGGCTCACAGGAGAAAGAAATTACCATTGACTGGCCACGTCCCAGGTGCCATGCTAAATGCTGTACTTACGTGGTCCTATAACTTTTTATCTAGAGTGGGGCTTGCTTTATACATCAGCTGTGTCTGAAAGGCCTGCCCACAAATTGAGTTTTAATGAACTTTATATCATTTTCCTTTTGCCATATTTTCAATATCTCAAGATCGCTGCGTTTGTTTCTGGAACTTTCCTGACAGTTCACTTGCATATATTTTTAACATTACTTTAAAACTGCAGTTGTAGCAGGCACCTCTAACAGGTCAGATCGTTCACAGGACAGTGATGCAGTGCGTGAGCCGGATCCCTGCAGCACTTGTTAAAAGTTTAGATTCCTGGGTCACCCTCCTCTACTGCCCTCCCTCCCTCCCCGCTCCCCACAGACATTCAGTTTCAGTAGATGTGGGGGGGTCTAGAATCTGTATTTAAAACAAATTCCTCACGTCTGTAATCCTGGCACTTTGGGAGGCCGAGGGGTCAGGAGTTCGAGATCAGTCTGGCCAACATGGTGAAACCCTGTCTTTGCTAAAAATACAAAAAAATTAGCCAGATGTGGTGGTGTGTGCTTGTAATCCCAGCTACTTGAGAGGCTGAGGCAAGGGAATTGCTTGAACCAGGGAGGTGGTGGTTGCAGTGAGCCAAGATTGTGCCATTGCACTACAGCCTGGGTGACAGAGCAAGACTCTGTCTTAAAAGTAAGTAAATAAATAAATTCCTCAGGGACTTCTTCGGATCGACTACGCCTCATTTTACTTTTCAGCTCCTTCTGAGTTCATGAAAATCTGGTGCTTTACATAAATTACTAATTAACCCTGGAACAGAGTTGGAGGCCTCCCTTAGAGTGCAAGGATTGAATTAGGATAGGAGACGGGCTCCTACACCACTGGACCTTTCTAGACCCCAGGCACACCAGAACGTCCCCTCTGAAACTCCACGCTGACCCTGAACAGCCAGCTCACTCTCCCTCTCCCCTTTTCTCACAGATTCGAGAGCAAAACCGACAAGACGTGAAGTCAGCGGGGCCTCAGTCCCAGCTCCTGGCGAGCGTCATTGCCGAGAAGAGCCGAAGCCCGGTACAGCAGACGCTGCCCCTGACTGGCAGGGAAACGTGTTTGCCTTCGGGGTCTTCCGTGCCTGGGGCTGGGCTGCAGGATCCCTGAGTCCTCATGCCCACCTTCCCCTGTGATCTTGGGTGCTGGTGCTCTTGCTGCAAAATGGAGGCCCACCTCACAGGGGTGCTGTGAGGACCAGGGAGGACAATGTCTGATGGCCCCTCTGGGCACTGGGCGGGGAAACAGCAGCCCAGCCTGCCCGCAGGAGTGACGCGGCCCCACCATGGAACTCCACTCTGTCCTCCCTTATTACCTTGCAAAGTGAGACTCATAGGCTTGGGACTGGAGACTTCCAGGTGCCCCAGGTGTGCCCAGCCCTGAGTGTCTCCGACCTCTGTGCCTGGATATGCTGTCATCCAGCCAGAGCTCTGGAAAAGCTATCATGTACCCATAGAGAGGGGGTCTATAGACGGGACCCATGCTCCTACAGGATGGGAAGGGACAACACTGTCCACACAAACCCACATTGAGTTAGAAAGTATTGTCATTGTTTGTGCTTGAGATAGAACCGTGTTTTGTCTAGTGCTTAGCAAAAGGGGTGAAGTTTAGGATGCTGGCAGGCGTTTGAAATCTCTGCTGCTCTTTGCAAGGTGGGCAAAGCATTTTCCTTAGCAGTAAAAATTGGGGAAATACAGGAAATGTTCCTCTCTACAGGGCAAATTGTGATGATGCAATGACTTCAGGTCAAGACTGCACCCCGCAGGGTGGGTGTCCATTGGCAAAAGGAGTATGAAAGTTGCATCATCACACCCACTTCCCCCCAACCCCAGCCCAGCCAAGATGGGGAACACTGAACATTCCATAGGGTCAAGGATAGAAATAGCCATGTTATAGGGGGAGGTGAGAGTTCAGTACAATGGGCAAAATGATTAAAAACAAACAGAAATCTCCCCTGCCATTTATACCAAATGCCCTTCTCGGAGTCCCTCTTCTAGGGTTTTTGGTCTTAGATTCTCTGTTGACTGCATGATCCCCTACATTAGGCCTGCTGTGACTTCCCTTTTGGAAGGGGCCCAGGGGCCAGAAGACCTGGTGGGCCAGGGCCAGGAGGACTGGCTGGCTCCAGGCTCACCTCGCTTTGGCTTCACTCTCTTTGCTCCTCAGCTGCGGAGTGCTGCATCCTCAAAGGCCAATATGAGGATAATGAATTAGGAAAAAGGGCTGTGGAGTCTAAATTTTAGTCCCTATCTTGGGCTAGAGGGGTCAAAGAATTCCTGAAGCTTATGCAAGGGCTGGCTGGTCAGCTCCCCAGAGCCAGGGGCTACACAGAGGTGGCAAAACCCAGTGATTTTGCCAGTAATGCTTCAGGGACCTGCGGTACAGGCAGGTTGAAGATCCGAGACTCAGGAACCTTGGCCCCTTTGTCACTTAAGACTGTGCGAAACAGGACTAACAGTTTGGACTGAGTGCACTGAAGCTGCTGTGTGTTTTGCATATGACTTAATGCTGTGCGTTGTGGCTTGCACTGCTGTGGGGGGCGGGCGGGGCGGGCAGGGAGGGCAGTGGTGGGGAATGGCTGGCATGAAGCTTGCTTGAGCCAATGCTATGTTTGCTGGGCTTTGGCTGACTGACTTTGGGCCACCAACTGTATTTGCATAGTGATGGCTTGGAAGTGTCCATAGCAGGGATTGCAATAAAGGTGTGTCTTCCTTATCCTTGGGAGCATCCTTTGATTTTATTTCAGGGCAGACTGTGGACCCCCTGTATTTATCCAGCCAGTTGCAAAATCTGGGTCTAGGGGTGAGGTAGCAATGGGGAGGAATGAACAACTCTTGCCCCAAGGCCCTGAGCTGTTTCCAAGGAGCTGCATGCCGCCTTGTCCCTAGCAAGACCGCTTGCAGCCACATGAATCTAAAAGGAGGCTGGGGCCTGCGCCCCAACCGCGGCGTTGAGAGCGACACACCCTCTGTGGTTAACTTTCAGTCTACAGAGAGCCAGCTGATGTCCAAGGGTGACGCGGATACCAAAGACGATTCAGAGGAGACGGTGCCCAACCCCTTCAGCCAACTCACTGACCAGGAGTTGGAAGAGTACAAGAAAGAGGTGGAGAGGAAGAAACTAGAACTTGATGGTAAATGACCCTGAGGCACCCTTGCTTCCAGATCCCCCAGGGTGGAGGGGAGAGCTCAGGACCACCAAAAGAGGACCTTCCTGCCCCATCAACAAAGAATGTTCTTATTACCATGGTTCCATTAATCACAATAATGCCCTTCATTGCGCTGTTCCTAACAGTTACTCGGTGTCTTCATGACCTCGCTTGACCCTCTCACTGGGTATAAAGAAATTAATACTTGTAATGTGCTTAGAGAAGTGCCTACAAACATGGCTTAGCCTGGTAAACACCAGATACATTTTAGCTATAAGATAATGATTAGTCATAATTATTATTTCCCTCCAGGTCTAGTATAAGCCTTTTGGCCTGGCAATCGAAACCCTCCACCAGCTGACAACTTTACGTCTTTTTCTCACTCCTTTACTTCAGAATCTTGAGCGAAGCCCGTCTCTCCATGTTGACTCCCAAATATTCACTCACAGTAGCTATGCCCTTGTTCCTACCTTTGTCTCTTCCTGGCATGCTGCTTCTTCTCAGCTAGCCTGGTCCAGTCATCAACACTTCAGGCCCCATCACCTTCTCTACTCTACTCAAATCGAGCTGTCCCTTCTCTTTGCTTCCTGAGCACTTGGGGTCTGAGACACACAGTTCAGCTTTTGGTTGTGTCCACTGGGCTAGACTGTCACTGCCTCAGAGCAGCGTCTTCCACCATCTCCCTTCCTCAACCCGAGTCAGCCACCTTCTTGGGCACAAATCAGCTACTTTAAAAACCCTTGCTGACTGGGCATGGCCTATAATCCCAGCAGGTTGGAAGGCCAAGGCGGGTAGATCACTTGAGGTCAGGAGTTTGAGAACAGCCTGGCCAATATGGTGAAACCCTGTCTCTACTAAAAATACAAAAATTAGCAAAGCGTGATGGTGGGAGCCTGTAATCCCAGCTACTTAGGGGGTTGTGGCAGGAGAATCGCTTAAATCCGGAAGGGGGAGGTTACAGTCAGCTGAGATGGCACCACTGCACTCCAGCCTGGGTGACAGAGTGAGACTGTGTCTCAAAAAACAACAACAAACAAACCAAACAAAAACCTTGCTGGCTTGCTTGGAGCTCTAATGTGCGCATTGAAAAGTAGACAGAAGAACATGGCGCTTTTTATCCCTAGGGATTGTTTGAACAGAAAATGTAAATTCAATGAGTTAAACAATAGTTACATGCAAACAAATCATGGGTGTTTTTAAGGGGAGTCAGCAAAAAGAAAAAAAAGATAAATAAGGGGCGTCGGTGGTTGTGGGTCCACCTCTTACCGGACGTTGATGTGCTCTGTGCTCATGACACAAAGCTCCTGGCTGGTTCTCTACAGAGACAGGACAGGAACGAGAGCCAGGCTCTGGTCTGGCCGTGTGGGCGTTCTCCTGCAGTCTTGCCTTCCACATCTGGAGTATTTGGTAGGTATGTTTCAATGAAGGAAACAACATGATTCCGCCTTCTCCCATCGGCCTTCCTGGGGAAGTAACAGAAATTTTAAAAGGTCAGAGGGAGCAGCTAACTTCAGCCGGAAGGTTCATTATCAGCTAGGAGGACTGATGACCAAATAGAAAAAAGTAATTTTTAGAAGGCTTTATTTCTCTGCCCATCTCTTCTCTATTTGACCTCTGTTGTGAGGTGGCTTTCTGTTTTTTTTTTTTTTCAGGCGAGAAAGAAACTGCCCCAGAAGAGCCTGGCTCACCTGCAAAGTCTGCACCTGCTTCTCCAGTGCAGAGCCCAGTGAAGGAGGCAGAGACAAAGAGCCCTGTAGTCTCTCCTTCCAAGTCTTTAGAGGGTGAGTCCAGCTGAGCAAGCTGGGAGGGAGGGACGGGGATGCATCTGCTGGCTAGGAGAGTGCCCTGCCTTCCACCAGTGTTGCCCCTAATCCAAAAATCTTTCCCCTCTGCTATTTCTAGGGAATCAGAAATAGGGGTTACCAAGTTTCACCTTGTTTCATTCACAAGCTATACCACTATACCTTGCAGCTTAAGCCTAGTGTAAGCAATGAAGAATAAGTTACTGGCTGGCCCAGTGTAAGTAATAAAGAGTAAGTGACCGGCTGGCCCCCAGCTCCTTGCCCCAACTCAGACACAGCCAGGGGTGTTGGGCCTTTTCAGATGCACTAGCCCCTTTCGCAGACTTTAACTGTGCATAGGGACCACCTGGGGATCTCGTGAAAATGAAGATTCTCCTCATTAAGTCTGGGATGTGGCCTGAGACGCTGAATTTCCCAGGTGAGGTTAATGATGTCATACTTCACCTTAACTGCGCATTGGAATCACCTGGGGAGCTTTAACAGTCTCGATTCCTGGATCCCACCCCCAGCTTTTCTGAGTTAAAGAAAACTCAGCAAAGTCTGGAGTTGAGTGGGTTGAGGAGTACAGCCTGGAGTTTTCGCATCTCTCCAGGGGAATCTAAAGTGTCCAGGTTGAAAACAGCTTCAGTAGAGAGATACTACCTTAAAGAACTGAGTTCTAGGCCCAACCGAACTGCTAACTAGTAATAACTGCTAATTTTAGCAAATCAGATAGCATCGTGCCTCAGTTTTGTTGACTGTCAGATGAGGCTACTAATATATTCCCTTTTTATACTTGTATAAGGGAAGTGTAGGTGAAAACATACTGTGAAAGAGTAAAAGCAGGACTTCAATGTAAGATGTGGTTATGGTTATGATTAATAATGTATATAAAGTGAATAATAATTATAGTTCATGGCCACCTAAATCATAAAAGTATCTTTATGGAGCTCCTGGAATCACTCCAGGGCATGAACACTTCTTCCCAGGTCACCTGGAGACCCCCACCAGACAGAGCTGGCCCACTAGCCAGAGAGCAGAACCTGGTGGGCTGTTGGAATCTTCTCCCTCCTGGGTAGAACAGCCACACATGTGGATTCCGATAGAATCCTTCAGCCCTGAGCTCCCTCCACAAGCAAGTTACTGCCTCATGTGCAGGTCCAGCGTTGCCAGAGGAAACCCATCTGCTTGAGGCCAGGGCCCCAAGCGGATGTCCCCCAACTGTTGTGTTCATTGTGTCTCACCGTGGTGTTGTCAACCTGTCTCCACAATGTCTTCCTTTCTCTTCCCATTTGTGCCTTCATCAAAGGAGTTTCCTCCGATTCTGAATACTTGTCTCTGTAGTAAGTATAGAGAGGCTGTTTACTAACTCACTGCAACACTTGCAATGGGGGAGGGAGGATTTTTTTTTTTTTTCCAAAAGAAATCAATTTCTCCCCAAGTTTTTCTTTTGCGACTCACAACTCTGCCTTTGGGAAGTTTCCCAACTGTAAAATTCATGACCAATTCCACATGCACTATGCATGGATTAGGCTTCTCTGTGGGAGATGTGGATATACCCACAGAGGCTGCACACATACACAAACACACAGGCACACATGCTCAGAAGCAACAAGCCCCCCAAGAGTTTGCAGGCAGTGGGGTCAGCTCTCCAGCACTCCCAGTGGTAGAGTGCTTGTGGCTCTCAGGTGCTCACTCCCAGCACTTTTCTTAGTGCACCTGCACCTCAAAGGAGCCTGTGGCCTTGTCCAGGCTTTGGGCCAGAGCCAGAACTGCCTTATAAGGATGCATAGAGGGCCTGGCCTGCTAGGGTCTTCAGGACATGTGTTCCAGCTACAGGAATGAAATCCAGGGCTGGAGAGGAGGCTCATGGAGGAGTGGGACAAGGGGCAGGAGGGGTGTGCAATGGGTGGGGTAGCTGTCTACCCACTGCCTGACATTTTACACCTAATAGGATAATTCCTTCTTCCCCTGGAGGGGCCCACTGTTGTTAGAAAAGTTGTCTTGAAGATACTTCCCATGACCCACTTCCTGTAACAGACAGAGAGCTAGGGAGCATGGCACCTTGGAGCAGTCCCTGCATGCCGAGGACACAAGCTGTAGCTGGGTGGGGAGCCTGGTCTGAAGCCTTGGCCAGGCTGCTCACAGGCTTGCTCAGCTCATGGGCAGTTAGGGCTTACCCACCAGGCAGCCTCTGCTCTTTCACATCTAGCCCACCTGTCAGATGAGGGATGGCTTTTTCCAACCATTGCCACCATGTCCTCAAATCCTCTTATGCTGTGTCACCTCAGTGTCACTCCTCATCTGTCTACCTGACTCCTACCCCATCAGCCTTTCTGAAGGCTGGCCATCAGAGAGAGCCTTTGCATCTGGCCATCTGTGCTATCACCTTCTCTTTAGCTCCTGTTGGACCCTCATCCCAGCTCACCTCATCCTCTGCTGAACCCTCAGGGCACTGGCTATGCCTGCAAAGCAATAATCCTGTATTTGACATCACATGATCAGCTCTGCCACTAACTAATCTAGCCATCTCAAACAAGTCACTTAAAAACACTGCTGGATGGGAATAGCATGAATTTTTGCCTTTCCCAACTAGGCCACAGCAAGTTGTCAGGATAAAATGAGCTACTGAATATAAAAGTACTTAGTAATGTGCTTTATGTAAGTTAGTCCTTTTTATCTACCATGTTCTCCAAATTGTAAGAGCTAATACACCACTTGACGCTTTAAGCCACTAAGTTTAAGGGCAGTTTGTGATGCAGGAATAAGATTTGATTTAAGTCATAGTGTATAATAGGAACTAATTTTATGGAAATTATTTCTTCTGTGGGTTGACTGGGGTTGACAGGGCTTAGCCGGATGAGTCTTCTGGTGGATGTGCTATCCACTGAGGGCTGCAGTCAGCAGGGAGCTTGACTAAGCTGGAACTTCCAAGATGGTGTACTCACAGGCCTGGTACCTTGGCAGGGGCAGCTAGAAGGCTGGACTCAGCTGGGACACTTAGATAGCTGGGTGTCTGTCTGTCTGTCTGTCTGTCTGTCTTTCTCTATCTCCCTCTCCAGTATGATCTGACGGCCCACCCATGTGGCCTCTCTACATGTTTTCTCTCAGGAGAGTTGGGTTTTATACATAATGGTAATAAGGCTCCCAAAACTGTAAAAATAGGAGTTGCTAGGCTTTCTTAAGTCTTTGGCCAGAGGCCTGCTCTGGCATTTCCATTGCATTCTATTGGTTTTGCCAGCTACAGGGCCAGCCCAGATTCAGTGTGAAAGGGGACTACAGAAGCCCGTGGGTACCAGAGGCACAGCTCATTGGGGTCATATTTGCACACAAGCTGTACCAGATACTGAAAGTATATTTGGGCACTTAGAGGAACATTTATATTCCAGCTGTGGTGAGTGAATGAGAGTCACAGAGTCCACGGCACCCATTTATGAGAAGCTCTACTCTCTTTTTTATAAGTGGTACTCTCTCAGTTTTAGGGGGGAGGTAAAAGTTAGAGAAAACACAGCATTCTAAATAATGCTTCTCAATATGTGCTCGATGGGCCTTGTATTAGAATTACCTGGGACTTATTAAAAGTATTTCTTGGCCCACCTTCGGTTTCAGTTTATTGTGGGGACAACACTAGGAAGCTGTATTTTCACAGGCTCCCTGGGCGATTCAGACACTGAGGTTTGAGAATTTAAACCCAGACAGAAACTCTGTTGCAAACCTCTGCATGGCCAGCATCCAGCTCATCCGTCAGCCATGGGCAGCTCAGTCTGTTGTTCTTCTTCCCCTCTGTTCTTTTCTTTGGGCCTTTTTGACTGTTGCTGCATGAGCGCCTAGCCCTTGTGTCAACATAGGACATTTTTTTTCAAGGTCTTTTATGAATCTCTCCATGGCCTCTCTATGCAATGGTGTGGCACTGCCTTTTCAACAGGGAAATAAAAGCAGTACACGGCAGTGAACAATTCTTCATGCATTTGGAATATAGGTCAGGATCAGTCTGATTGACCTTGTGTTCTGAAGTGCGTCAGCAAATCCTGTTTCAAGGCCCTCCGCTGGTATCTCTCCTGCTGCAAAGAGAGGGCTTCTCAAAGCTGGGGGGCTTGAGGCAAGAGATCACGTGTTTGACCCTGAGAAGTTAGCAGTCCAGGGAAGGAAAGGCAGCCTTGCTCCTTCAGTTAGGCAAGGTCATATTCATTCCCCATGTCTTCATCCCAGTGCACAGCCCCAGAAGAGCCCAGCTGCTGAGCTGACACAAGGCATCCTATGTTGAGCCTTTACCTGCCCTGACTTGGCAAATGTCAGCAGCAGTAAACATGGCATAAGCATGTTGTCACTGAGCTGCATGATGGTTTTCAGAGAAGTAAAAGACAGAGTTTCTGTCCTGAATGGTGTACTTGGGCAATGAATAGACTCTTAAAAGAAAAAAGAAAAAAAGAATGACACACCCAAGTGCAAAATGAATAGATGAGCAGTGTGTTTAGAGGAAGGTGAGCTCATTGTCCAATGTCGGGAAGGCTGTACAGAGACAGTGTGACTTGAGCCAGACCTTAGATAGGTACATGCTTGGAGCAGCAGAGAGGAGTGGAATGGGCTGTGCAGGGGCGGTGCCTAGGAGGCTAGGGGAACTGGCATTCCTGGAAGGGGGTTGTATTAGGGTTCTCCAGAGAAATAGAACCAACAGGTTATATAGAGAGATAAGAGGAGACTTACTAGGGAAATTGCCTCATTATGGAGGCTGAAGAGTATGTTGTCTCCAAGCTGGAGAACAAGAAAGCCAGTGGTGTAACTCTGTCCGAGTCTGAGGCCTAAGAACCAGGAGCTGTAAGCCTGAGGCTAGGAGAAGATGGGTATCCTGGCTCAAGAACAGAGAGAATTTGCCCTTCTTTCACCTTTTTGTTCTATCTGAGAGGGCCCTAAACAGACTGGATGGTGTCCAACCATGTTGTTGAGGGCAGATCTTCTGTATTCAGGCTATTGATTCAAATACTAATCCTGGCCTGACACAGTGGCTCACCCCTGTAATCCCAGCACTTTGGGAGACTGAGGAGAGTGGATCACCTGAGGTTAGGAGTTTGAGACCAGCCTGGCCAACATGGTGAAACCCTGTCTCTACTGAAAATATAAAAATTTGCTGGGCATGCTGGCACACACCTGTAATCCTAGCTACTCCAGAGGCTGAGGACAGAGAATCGCTTGAAACTGGGAGGTGGAGACGAAATGAGCCGAGTTGTGCCATTGCACTCCAGCCTGGGTGACAAGAGCGAAACTCTGTCTCAAAATAAAAACCAAAACAAAACAAATGCTAATCCCTTCCAGAAACACCCTTACAGACACACCCAGAAATATTGTTTTACCAACTATCTGGGCATCCCTTACCCAGTCAAGTTGATACATTAAAATTAACCACCACGTGGTCATTGGTGGCCAAGAGATACCCAGTGGTTGGAGACTGTGGGCTAGTGAGAAATGGAGTCGGAGAGGCAGAGTGTCCAAACCAGCTCTGTGCCTCCCACAGAAGCCCCCTCCTCCTCCGGCCTCTGGAAGCCTTCTGGAAGCCTCAGGGTCCAACGCACAGGGTCTGGCTGTGGACCCTGACTTCTGAATCCAGTCTTGCTCCCGTCACCTGTTCCCCCAATGCCTCCTGTCTCTCCCTTAGCTTTCCAGTCACCATCCTGGGACAGACCCCCCATTTTCTAGCTTCTGCCCCACTCTACTCACTCCCACAATATCCCCTTTTCCCAGAGCTCCAAGTTCCCCATTCAGGAGAGAAAGCCAGAGGTTCTTCTTAGAAGAGGTTGCAAGTTGAGTTCTCAACTGACCCTCGTTCCTGGGGCCTCTCTCAGCCTAGTCTTCAACCTAACTGTTAACAGAGGAGGGGTCTAGGCTCTCAGAGCCTGACCGCAGTACTTTCCAGGGGCCTAACACATGTTTATTTCTGGAGCCCTGTCCCTTCTCTTGGCCAGTGGAACCCTCGAGTAGTCTCTGACTCTATAGTTGAAGGAGTGTGACCTTAATTAGGAACTTGGCTCCTCCAAGCCCCATTTTCCATTTGCCATGACTCCTCAAATGATTCATGATGTGGAGCCTCTCTGAATCGTAGCAGATCCACTATCTGTGGTCCCCACTTTCTACATGGTGAGAAGAATCTTGATTGTTGCTCTCCTAAACCAGACACACACCAGGGCCTGAGGCTGTTGGTTAGGTTGACAGCAGGGCAGGTATGGGCAAAGGGACATGAATGAGGGGCATGGTTGAAGGATGCCATCGGAGTGTGGATACTCCTTGCCACCAGGCAGGAAATGACACTTGGACAGAAAGGGAGAGCCCCTCTTATCCATAGTTGTCTTCATGAAGCCAGAAGGCAAGTGCCCAAACCATCTTAGAGGAGGGCGCCAAGGGTCAAGCTTTAGAAATGCGTCCTAATGTGTTATACAGGTGAGGGCCCTGCAGTGAGGATCTGGGTTGAAGTTGCAGAGCCATGGAGCTCCAAGAGCCCAGGAATATGAGAGGGGGGACCAGGGCAGCAGGCGCAGGGGACCAAGGCCAGCACTCAGGGCTGGTGTTTGTTTACATGAGTGGATCCAGTTCCGCTCAGAAGGCTCAGGCTGGGATAGGCAAGAAAAGATGAGGTGATGGTATTGGCTTGGTTAGAATAAATCCATTCACATATTCATTTATTTGCTTATGCTTTCTACCATTCATGGATTCTACAGACTTTTCTGAGTGCCTTCTGTGAGCTAGTTACATAGGTCATTAGATACAGTTTTGCCCTAATTTATTTCAATTTTGAAGGGGGAGGAGATAGACATAAAAAACAAGTGTGGGCTGGGTGTGGTGGTTCACGCCTGTAGTCCCAGCACTTTGGAAAGCTGAGGTGGGCGGATCACAAGGTCAGGAATTCGAGACCAGCCTGGCCAACGTGGTGAAACCTCGTCTCTACTAAAAATACAAAAATTAGCTGGGAGTGGTGGTGCGCTCCTGTAGTCCCAGTTACTTGGGAGGCTGAGGCAGGAGAATTGCCTGAACCCAGGAGGCGGAGGTTGCAGTGAGCCGAGATCGTGCCATTTCACTCCAGCCTGGGCCAGACTCCATCTTGGGAAAACACCAAACAAACAAATGTGATTGTTTTGCAGATGCTGTGATGGAAGTATAGACAGCAGAGGCAGAAAGGAAGGAGTGGTAAACTCTTCCTGGAAGTGGGAATGAGGATCAGGAAAGACTTGAAGGAAGAAGTAACACTCAGTCCGATTCATTATGTGGAATGAAGGCTGGGGACACAGAGGAGAGAGAAGGGCCTTGCAGAAGGGAATGGGCTGGGATGACAGTGAGAGGTCCAGGGACCGGCAGCTTGGTATGGCAAAAAGCAGGTGAAGTGGGAATAGGAGAGTGGGCAGCCTGTTTATGGCATTCAAGAGTACTGCCAGGTGATGGCCACAGGATTACATGGCAGGACGGAAGGGGATGCTGGATGAGGATGACAGGACATGAGCTGGGCAGTGGGAAGACTGGAAGCAGTGGCCAGGGTCTTTGCTACCAAGAGGGAGCTGGTGCTCTGCAGTGGTCTGCGGGGTGCACTTTGAGTTATCCAGCAGCGTCAGGGGTTATAGAAGACTTTGTTACAGGGAGATCTGGCCCGGTAGTTCACTAGTCCACTCTAGCTGTCCACAAGTTACCCCACTCTGCCCCATCCTCCATGGAACCATGCACTTCCCCAGACTTCACCCCTGTTAAGAGTCCAGGCTTTTCCTAAAACCGAGTCCTTCGCCCACTCTCTCTGTAACACTGATGATATCTTCTACATCACCCACATTCCCATACACCCTAGCACACTGGGTTCCTTCTTGTGATGTGGCAGCACACACACGCTACATTCACATGTGCATATCACACACACACCACACAGGTGTGTCACATGCTCACTCATACACTCACATTCACACCCTCGCATATGCTCATGTGCACTCACACACACTTGTACATACAAACACATTTGTAGACGCTCACTCCCACACTCATATACCACTGTCATACACACTGATTTCACATGCTTACACCACACACACCACACACTCATTTACATACTCAAACCTCACACACACACACAACTTGCCTGCTCACACACACACCCTTGCACACCCTCACACATGCTCACTCACACCCTTACACATTTGCACATCCGCACTCATACACACTCACTCACAGACATTCCTTTCAGTTCACGTGGTGAGAAGAAGTGGAACCACAAGTTGGTAAGCCAACGTCTGCCCACCATCGTACAGTGTTCTTCGGCCTTCTTAGCTGTACAGCGGGGAGGGGGAGCACCGGATGATGCCTTGCTTTCTACTTCTCAGTCTGTGATTTTACAATCTCCCCAACCCCCAACCCACCCAGGCATCTGAAAGTTTCTGTGGAAGCAGGATTGGGTGAGAGTGGGGAGTGGGGAGAAAGGGCGGCAGGAGGGTTTGGTTTCTGGGACCTGAACAACTTTGGCCTTGAACATGGCAGTGATCCCAACAGATTCCCAGGTGGAATAAAGACCTGGGGGCCCCAGTGGCTGCTAGAATGGGTTGACCAGGGGTCTTCCCCTTTTCACTAACACATCTTGGAAATGCAGGGTCTGTATTATACAGGGAATTCCACTCTCCCTGTGCCAGCTGGGAAGATACTCTCCATATTTCTCAAAGTTCATCACTGGTGTTGAAAATGAAAACATGTAATTTCCATATTTTTATTGGTGAAACTGAACGGGCTACAGCAATTCTTAGATGTCTCCACCAAGCTGTACACCTCACACCTTCTCCTTCCTCTGTGTCTGTTTCTTCCTTCTTGCTTAGAAAAACTCTGTACTGGGCCCTAGCTGTGCCCCCTGCAACATTCAGACATCAATATCCATCTAAATTCATATACAAGAGCCTAGAGCTGCCGGCTTACAAGAGGGTGTTCCCAGGACAGGCCATGTGGAAGGGGTGCAGATCAGAGCCCAGTCCTTCCATCTGTCTCTGAGAGCCATCCCTCAACATCAGGCTGGCCCTTCCCTTGCTCTGGACCGACTTTATAGAATTTCCTAGAAATTGTTCTGTTAGTCCCAGGTGGAAGCTCTCATCCAAATGAATTCTTACAGGTCATATCTTTTGATCTTTTTCTAGAAGGTGCTGAGAAGACAGAAACAAGCAAAGACACCACCACAGAGCCCGAAACAACTCAGCCGGAAGGGGTGGTGGTCAACGGGAGGGAGGAGGAGCAGACGGCAGAGGAAATCCTCAGCAAAGGCCTGAGCCAGATGACCACCAGTGCTGACACGGATGTTGATACCTCTAAGGACAAAACCGAGTCGGTCACCAGCGGCCCCATGTCCCCAGAGGGCTCACCTTCCAAGTCTCCCTCAAAGAAGAAAAAGAAATTCCGAACCCCTTCCTTCCTGAAAAAGAGCAAAAAGAAGGAGAAAGTGGAGTCCTGATTCATGACACCCTTGGGCTCCCTCCTGCCTCCTCTCTCTCCTCCCCTTCCCTTCTCCCATCTCTGTCCCTGCAAGCACAGGGCCAAGGAGGGATAGAGCAGGACCCTGGATCACACTCGGAAGGGGAACTTAGAGATCGCCTGACCAACCCTTCATTTTACAATTGCCCCAGGGAAATCAGGTGACTTGCCCAAGGTCACACAGCTAGTTAGCGGCAGAGCCTGCACTCGAATTCAGGTCTCCTGACTTCCAGTCCAGTGCTCCTTCTACTACGTAACACTGCCTAGTTGTGGGCCGCCTTTGTTCAGATGCTGCCCACCAATCCGAGCCTAGGGCAAGAAGGCCAGAAATGGGCCATGAGCTCTCATAGGCTCAGACTAAATCAGACAGGTCGAGGCTTCCCCTGAGTAAGGCCCATTTCTTCGCAGGAATCCAATCTCCTGCGGATGGAGCTATCTCTACATTTAAAACATCTCTTCTCTTTTTCTCTTTGTATCCCTGCCCTGCTGTTCAAAGTAACCAGGCAAATTGACCGCTCCAACAGAAAGCAATCTTTGTTCCCAAGGGCTGATGGCTTAGCTTGTACTTCCCCAAACATTAACCCCGAGCTTTCTTCATGGAACCTCTTGGATGATGGGTGGAAGAGCTGTAAGCGGTGGTAGGCATAAGGGCAAGCCATGTAAGCTGAGGATTGGGGATGGTTTCATCAACATAAGAGGCCAGGAACTTGACCCCTTTGAATTGTGCGTCTCAGGCACTTCAAAACTAAAACCAAATTTAGCATAGGAAAAAGTTGTTTCATGCTCAGGTGGAAAATTGGGGAAGTTGAAGTCTTCTGTTGGCTTTGGGTTGTGCAAGGAGGATCAAAACAACAGAGGGTATGCTATGACTTTCTAGCTTTGCATGACACCTGGAGCAATGCGCTGTACCTGCCTCACTCCTGTCCAGCAGTCAGGTGTCCCCTGACCTTCCCTCACCCCCAGAAGCATTTGCTTACAGACTGAAACTGGCATCTTACTCTTGGCACCTTGACTTGCACCCTCTGAGGTTCCAACTCTGAGTCACTCTAGGTCCAGCAGAGGAGAATCAGAAATGAGCCCTTCAGGATTAATCCTCTTGTACCAGCTCTCAGAGAATGCTGGGGGTCCCTGTCCCTGTCCCTATCTGTCCATCCTGGGGCCTCATAATGGCCACAGCTATTGTTTTAAATGCCAACACTGTCTTCTCATGTTCTTCCGCGGGGCAATGCTTAATGAGGATTGTTGGCTCCTAAAAATTAGACAATCCATTCTCTTGAAAGCACAGTGTCTTGAAAGAATATTTTTCCTTTTGACCTGCCTATTGTGAAAATATTTTTGAAAGTTCTTAATCATAGTTTTCCACTTTTGAGCACTTATTATCTGTAGACACTGTGCAGGCTTCACATATATTACATCCTTTAACCCTCATGGTAATCCCTTGAGGTGGGTAAGATCATTCCCATTTTGTGGGTGAGGAAACTGATCCCCCTGAAAAGATAATTGACTTGTCCCAGCTGACTTGGCTAGAAAAATCTGGATCCTGGATTTGAACCCAGGTCAGCCTGAGTCCGGAGCCCTTGGTCTTAACAGCTATGGTGAATAGACAACTTTAATCCCCAGGGGTGGTGGTTTTCATCCAGGACTTGTCTCTATGACTGGTCTCCATTGCATAATGCTAGCACTTGGAGCAAAGGTAGGAAACTCCCTGTGCTCATTCTCATCAGTATATGTGAAGTTCCTGGACAATGTGGACTGTGGTGATGCTACTGTGTACCTGTGACAAAGGAGAGGCAAGAGCCTTCTTGTTGGGACAGGAAATACCATCTATAATTGGCTATTTCTTGAGAAGGAAAGAAACTGACCTAGGACCGAGGTAAACTAGACACTGTGTCTGTCCAGTGCAGGTTCCTAACTGCTACCCCTGGCTCTGTCTCTGTTCTACTTCCTGATTAGGTCAAATTTTAGGAGGGACAACGCCCTGATGTTTCAGAAAAATCTGTCATATGGGAAATGCCTTTAAAAGCCAATCCCTTGATGCCTTCTTTTAAAAAGTAGATTTCACATTTATTCATTCATCCTTTCATGGTATTTGTTAAGCATCCACTGACCACCAGGGATTATTTTGACATTGAAAGAAAGCCATTGTTATGGCTAGAATAATAAGTGGCAAACAATGTTGCGAGAATGGTGAACACAACCTCTGATGCAGCCTTTCATGTGTGAGTTGTTGTAGTTCAGCGGTGACGTTGATTGCCTCTGCATTCAACACACTCTCTTTATTCCCTTTATGACAACAGTGAGACCTCACCTAGGTCAAAATGTTGGACAGAGTCTTGCTGCAGCATTATTCTTAGAATTTATGCCATGGGCCCACTTGCTATTGATTGATGAACCTATCAGTTGGTTCATTCCTCATGTTCATTTCTCATGTGATAGGGTCCATCTCCTATTGATTGATGAACCTGTCAATTGGTTCATTCCTCATGTATTCCAAAAACATGCATTGAACTTGGGTCAAGGGCCAGGCATGAGGATAGGCATAGTTCCTGCCCTCAAGAAGTTCATGAGCGTAGTAGGTGTATAGACAAATTGCAACACAGGCAAGTGTACCGAGGCGGCATAAGGAAGCAACAGTTAACTATCTTGGGGACCAGAGAAACCCTGAGAGAAGCAATGGCTGTTAGGGTTTTAAAACAGGAAGTTTCCAGTAGAATGGAAGGGTTGGCAGGGCATGCCACGATGAGGGAAGAATGTGTGCAAAGGTGTGGATGCATGAAATGCCATGATGGGTCCACTGAGCAGTGTGGCATTGGCAGAGCATGACACCTAAGCTGGGTGGTTGAGGGGTCCCTTCACAGGTGGGCAGGGTTGAAGCCTACAGAAACTGGTAGGAAGTGTGGAGGAGCCAGACTTGTTATGGAAGGGGTTTGGAGCCACTGAAGCCTTTCAATCAGGATAGAGTCATGATCAGACTTGCATTTTAGGAAAATCCCTTTGGTAGCTGAATGGAGACTGTGGACTGGATGGGCGTAGGATGGTGGCCTGGGAGCTATGAGGCCTTTCTGAAATGTACTAAAACATGTTTGATGGCCTGCCTCACATGATGTTTCCTCTATAGCAAATAGTTTCTGACACAAAATTTATTTCCATAAAAGTCTTTGGATAAAGCACCCTAAGAGAGATTTTTGACAAGGGGAGGGAAGCATTCAAAGAGCTAATGTTTCCAGTTTTATTTTGCCTTGGTGTAGAATTTCTGGGAGAGGTGTCGAGCCATCCTGCTGTTTCTTCTTCCCTTGACTAGAATGTGGCACACTTAGCTCCAGGCTTGAGAACACGCACCCAATGCTACAGAAATAGACATGTGGTCCAAACAAAACCGCAGACTATTAGGAGAAAAGGAAAGGGCATTTTCTTTGGCTTTGGATAAAAGTTGGCTGAAAGCTTTGACCACTATCTGACTGGAGAAAATGTGTATTCAAGAGCTTAGATTTGGTGGGCAGTAGGTTCATGTCTAGTTGAGCCACTGTGCTTGGATATGCCAGAGAAAAGGGATAACATTTGAACCAATATGCTGCTCTGTGGCTGGCTGAGCTGGGAAGTGGAGAGGTTTCTGAGCTTATTTCCATCTGAAGGCAGGCAGGAGGGAGAGGAAGAGAAGGATTAATGGTTGTACAGACAGGCTTAGCTCCAACAACTCCCTGCGCAGCGTTGGCTGCACTGAATAGTGGTGTGGGAGAACCATCCATACATGTGGCTTCCCCCAAAAGTGCAAGAAGAGACATCCTCTGGCCCAGACCTGGGCTCTCTAAGAGTGCCTTCTGGCCTGCAGGTGACCCAAGTAACTGTCCTACTTTGGCCAGTTGACCTCTCTCAACTCTCCTATAACTAAAACAAGCTGCTGCTTCTATGAACAGATAAGTTCTTTTTAAAGGACTTGAGGAAATTGGATGAAGAGCAGTAAGTTCTTACATTAAGAATCCCACTGTAAAGCGCTGCCCTCTGCCACTGATCCGTGTAGACTAAACTTGAATCCCATTCCCTGTGGATGACACTGTCACTTGCTCATGGTGACATGGCAAGACAATCATTCAGATATTTGGCATTGTTGTAACAGGGCTACTGCCAGTGTGGGGGAAAGTGCTATAAATCCACTTCTTTGATTACCATGAATTCGAAAGAACCATTTGCTCAAGATCATGATTCACCTCTGAAAGTCTAAAACTAATTTTCAGTTTTTTCCATGAAGGTATGTGGAGGATAGTCACACAGCCTCCCCATAGGTCTGCATGATATGTTTTTTTCTTTTCTCTCTCTCTCTTTTTTGAGATGGAGTTTAGCTCTTTGTTACCCAGGCTGGAGTGCAGTGGCACAATCGTGGCTCACAGCAACCTTGAACCCAAAATATGGGTTCAAGGGATTTTCCTGTCTCAGCCTCCTGAGTAGCTGGAATTACAGGGGCTCGCCATCACGGTTGGCTGATTTTTGTATTTTTAGTAGAGACAGGGTTTCACCATGTTGTCCAGGCTGATCTCGACCTCCTAACCTCAGGTGATCCACCCACCTCGGCCTCCTAAAGTGCAGGGATTACAGGCATGAGCCACTGTGCCCAGCTGACATTTTTTTCTTGGTGTGAATTTTATGTTCTAGTTGTAGGAGGACAAGGGTAATCAATTCTTCACTAATGAACAAATGAGAACATTTACCCTTTGCTCATTTTACACGTGAGGGTCAGCAGAAGCCCTAGAGTTGGTTGGCATAGTTGCAGTTGACTCTGAGCCTAGAGGAAACAGGTCTTTTTACATTCTCTCTCATCACTTGAGCTCAGTTGAACTCTCTAAGACCTTAGCACTCAAAGAGTCTGAGAAGAAATGAGGGAGGGGCTAAATCTAAGCTCTCCACTCCCACAGAAAGGACAGGGCACTCTACAATTTAAAAGCCAACGGGTCATCCTATCATCTATTTTATATCTGTTCTCAAAGGGATAGTTTAGTGCAAGAAGTAAGAGTCCTATGCAGTGACTCTAAGCTGATGGAATGTGCACATTGGTTATCGGTGCACATGTCCACTTGCACCACAATGTGAGAAGGCATACATGGTAGTGCAATTACTCCCAGAAGCCCTGTCCACCCAGCCTATTCAGATGTGGCACGCTTTCTGTCATAAATGAGAGGCCAGACGTAAAGATCAGTCACCAAGGCATGCCCAACATCCCTTTACCTCTCAGTGAACAGCCACGCTCACTAGGAAGCAGTGTGGGGACCTCAGGTGGGGTGTCCTTTAGTGGAGAGCACCTGTCATCGTTTTTATAGAGACAGTTCCCTTGAGAATGTAGGCTTTTCTTCTGAGGAACAATTAGGAAGAATCTTCAGTTGGGAGTGTTCTTAAATATACAGAAACAATGGTTCCTATCGGTTCACACACAGGTGGTATTAGGTTTGGCCATATTGATGTTTGGTGCCACTTGCCTTCTAGATTTTCCCAAAAATTGGGTCATTGCTACAAGAAATTGGGACCTGAAGATGGGGGAGACACTGATGCAGGTGAGGGGTTCAGGTAGAGCCAGAGTCTGAGGCACAGTGTGAGAACGCGCTGGTGGTTTTCTAGTAGAGTCAGGTCCAGGGCTCCTTTCCTCACCCACTGTGCCCCAGACTGAGGCCAGCTGTGATCGGCCAACTCCTTATCTCTAGGTTGTTTAAAGAAAATGTAAGAGTTTGGGGGGTGGTGGGAGAATAACCGTAGAACGACCCTAAACTCTTCTCTCCCCAGTAAATTATCTTGTATAATATTTAACAACTCAAAGGCCAGATGGATGGAGGGCAGCAGTTGGACCTAGGGCAGAGGGGCCACACTTGAAATGTATTATAAAATGGGAATATATTTCAGGGAACCCCACCCCGACACTTCCACTCCACCTCACACCTGTTGGTCCTGCTTTGTGGGTGACTGATAGATACCAGAGGACTGCCCCACCTTTAAATTCCTGCAATTTATGCTGCAACCAACATCCCAGTGTTTGCCCTCTCCAGGAAGAGGCAGGGTGGGTGAGAACCTATGGTCCAGAGGCTGAGATCGCCTGGCTGGGGTACAGGCTAGCAGGAACCAGTCTAGATAGTGTGCAGTGTTCACTAAAGCTATGGATGGTTTCAGTGAAATGTCTGTGTCTGACAATCGTCACGCAAGAGTACTACTTACTGTCTTCCCTTGTACATACATTGTCTGTGTTTAGCTTTTCCTAGTATTGTGAGGTTTCAAATAGGGGTTCCATGTAAATATTCTTTCTGCTACTGAAATGCCAGCCCCCTGGAGTATGCACCACCCCCACAAATGGTTTTGCCTTTCTCTATGCTAACACTTTTTGAGCCACTGATGTGCAGATTGATGATTAGTTTCTTGGGCTTTTATTTTGCAATTTTATATGTATACACATATATAATATATATATTTATGGGTTGGTTTTGTATAGTTTTCTGTTTGAATCTTTGAGCACCAAAGCTGCCCTTTGATTTTCACGAGAACTTTCCAAAGCCACTTCCTGAGCCCTCCTGCTGCTTTGGTGTCTGATGGTGATGCTGGGGTGGCATCTCTGCCCATGGATTTCTGTACGTGTGTGCTGTTACCTCACCTGCAGATATGACCCTAGTAAATCTAACGTGCTTGGCTTCCCAGTGTGTGTGCCCCATCTCTGTTAGCTTCTCCGTTCTCCTGGCTCCTGGGGAGCAAAAGTCAGAAAGGGGGCCCTGTGGAAACATGGACCATGCAAGAAACTTGTACCCTTGAGACCGTTTTCACATGTGGAAACCTGAACATGTGTCTGCTTGTGTTCTGATGTGGGAAGGGTGGTTGTAAAATACTAGACTCCCCTGAAAAGGAAAAGGCCATGTGGATTTGCACAAACACACATGTGTCACAATGGGTGTACACCATGTGTGTATACCCTGTGATGTTATTTGTAATATCCTGGGAAGATATTTCTTCTAATATTTCAGTGGTGTATACCCTTTCAGATTATTCGTAATATTTTAGAGAGACATTACTTGTAATATCACAGTGGATGTACACTCTGTGAAATTATTCATTATATCCTAGGAAAAGATATTACTTTTAATATTACCATGGGTGTACACCCTGTGAGTTTATTCATAGTATGGGCTACTAAGAATAATCTCAAACATTGTACACCCACTGTGACATAGACTAGGGAAATATTACTTTTAATATCACAATGGGTGTCCACTTATTATTCATAATATCACTCCTAGAAAGATATTACTCTGGCTGGAGATTTTGCTCAGTTCTCTTCTAGCTGTTTGCACGGACAGTCACTGTGTTCAGCCTGCAGGCTCCATAGCAGGCGTTTTCCTTTCCTGGAGGTCTCATCTCCCATCAAGGAAGAGGTCCAGATTGCTGTCTGATGTCTGGTCTCTGGACTGAAGGCCGTTTAGTACAGGACTCACAAATAACCATGGAGCAAGGCAGGGGGTATGCATGAGTGGCATGGGCAAGGTGTGAGTTGGGGATACAAAAGGCAGTGGTGGAGGCCAGGTGCGGAGGCTCATGCCTGTAATCCCAGCACTTTGGGAGGCCGAGGTGGGCAGATAACCTTAGGTCAGGAGTTTAAGACCCAGCCTGATAACCTGAGCAACATGGAGAAACCCAGCCTCTAATAAAAAATACAAAATTAGCTGGATCTGGTGGCTAGCGCTTGTAGTCCCAGCTATTTGGGAGGCTAAGGAAGGAGAATCATTTGAACCCGGGAGGTGGAGCTTGCAGTGAGGCAAGATGGTGCCACTGCATTCCAGCCTGGGTGACAGAAGCAAAGAGAAGGAAGGGAGGAAGAAGGGAGGGAGGGAGGGAGGGAAAGAGCGAAAGAGAGAGAGAGGAGGAAAGAAAGAGGTGGGGACTGCGGCTAACTCAAATCTGCACACCTTGTCAGATGCTGTAGACTCTACCCGAATCCAGTCTCCTGCTTACTGCCTTGTGAAGATGATGTGGCCTAGTGTTGCCAGATCTACTTTGAGAGACCAGAATTCCAGATCTTTATTTATTGGTATTTGTATTTATTTTTTGAGACAGAGTCTCCCTCTGTCACCCAGGCTGGAGTGCAATGGCGTGATCTCTGCTCACTGCAACCTCCACCTCCCAGGTTCAAGCGATTCTCCTGCCTCAGCCT